ATACTTGGTGCCGTTTGTAGCGCTTTTCTTGTTTTCCTTTTTTCCTTTTTTTTTTTTTGTTGCATCCTGAACCTAATCGCTGCGTTTAATTTACTTAAATTATACTAATGATCTTGGAGCTGCCCCAGGTCCCCAGAGCAGTGCTGAGCAGTGAGAGAGCGAGGCTCAGCCTCAAGTCTCAGTCTCAGCATCTTGTGCCAGGCCAGTCCAGGCCAGGCCAGCCGATGCCAAGTCATTTGTTTTGGCTCGTTTATGGGGGAAGGCGGCTCAATTGATTTGGCCAAAGCAGCCGAGCCGCCAAAGAGAGCCGCCAAGACGACTACTCTGCAGCCAGAGACGAGGTCCAAGTGGTCGCTTCGGATCGGATCCGATCCGTGGCCGGCTGGCTGGCTTGCTGGCTAGTGCGAATCCGAGTGTTGCGAGTGTCGCTAGATATGGCCTGACATTTAGATGAAGTGTCTGTGAATCTGAGCCGGGGTCTGCGTCTGCACAGCCCCCGTCGATTTCCAGCTGCGTTTTGCCAGCCAGCCAGCCAGCCAGCCAGCCGGCCTGAGCCTGAGCTCTGTGCTCTGGGCTCTGCTCTTTGGGCCATCTAAATGTCGTCGTGTAATTCCATTCATAAACAAAACTTTAATTTTATTGCACATTCGGAGAGTTGACACGCAGTCAAGTCAAGAGTTGCTGTGGGACTGTGAAGGCGTTGGCTGGTGCCAGGACCTGCACTGGACTCGGGCATGCAGATGCAGCAGCATCACAAACGATTATCATAGACCCTCCAAATGGCTCAATTAGTTCTCGTGCAGTTCTCTCCAACGCGCCTCTCTGCTCCACCAGGCGGCTTCTTCACTGCGAAAGTTTTATTGATTGGCATGCTGCATTCCTGTTGAGTTGTTGTTGCCTGCATAACTTTCAGTTGTAAGAGAGAAACTTTTTGTGCAAAGAAATGTCATGACCCGCGCCCCACCACCACTCAGTTGCAGCATTCATTTTGGCTCCCAATTTGCAGCTCCCAATTTTCAGCTCTGGCTAAGTATGCCACACCGGGGCATGCCATTGACACCCATGCAATTGTTGTTAATTAATTAAAAATAAAAAATAAATACTCATAGACGATTGCGTTGACAAGATAAAATGGGCAAGCCACACAGGCACAAACACACACACACACACAGATACAGAAAATAAAACAAACACCAACCAACACATGCAAACACGACTCCCAGGCACCAGAGCTATAAATTGTGACAAAAAAAATTAAATAAATAAATAAAATAACACAACACAAAAATCTATATACTGGCCGCTGTGGCTGTGGCTGTGGCGTCAAGGTGCGACATTGACCCTGCTGCACGTAGCAAGTAGCTGGCTGCCTCAGGCTGCCGCTGCTGCCTCGTGTCTGTGTGTGGCACACAAATCTAAAGCAAACTAAGAGTGGCAAACAAAATATATAGCACGTTATCGTTGCAAGCACAATAAAACCTGGCATTTAAGAGTGCATAAAAATGTTTAGTGGAGTTGGAGTTTTCGGTATTCCATACCACACCACAAAATAATTACACTGTGCTGCAAAGAAAAATAATCTAAAGCGAACATAAATGATGTACCAATTTAATTTAAAATATTTCTTTATTCTTTCTATCAGACATTTTTTTTTTCTTATATGTGGAAGGACTGTACAGAATCGATATTTCAATAAGATTGGAGTTTTTTCCTTGCTTTACAAACGCTAAAATAATGGAAACATTGGAAATAAGTAGATAATGGAAATAGTATCTAATATTCTTCTTTTCGTCACCTCCATCGAACACATCTCTGAAAAGCAAGACCCTTAGATCCAGCTTTTGTATCATAAATATAATAAATTTATTAAATAAATATATATATGTATATATAGTAAATAAATAAATATAATATATAAATAAATAAATATAATAAATAAATAAATCATACTCAAATTTGAAACTGTGGGCAGTAGCACCCAAAAGGCTGGACATGGCTATAAGCATTTCTGAGTGTGTAGATGCTAAATATATAATAAAATGAACCCATAAATCTGTAAAAATAAAAACACTTGCGTTAAATCTTACAACGTTTTAGAAGCTTACAATTTCATTGAACTTAAATTAAAATCAGCTGAAATTGTGTTGATCAGTGCTCGTATCAGGCAGTCAGGGCCCGACTTAACCTTGCCAAAGCAGTTATTCTTGCTCCGTTGTTCTGCTGCCGCTGCTGCTGCTGTTGTTGCAGCTGCAGGCAATGCCACTTGCAACAGCAGTAACAGCCACAACAACAACAACAATATAGAACACAGCTGTGCAACAGAACAACAACAAAAATAAAAAAAAATAAAATGATAGCTAAGTTCTGGGTACTTGGGGGGTAAACAAAAAATGTACAAACAATTATTGCCATTAGCAAATTGGAAATAATTTGATGTTGTCTTTTGGGTTCGATTTTTCACAATTTTCTCACGGCATTGGGTCGCCACCACGCTGTGCAGGAAAAGCCTTTCACAAAATGCTCGTCTCGTCTTGGGACTTTCAACCAATTGGTTTGTCAATAAGCACAATTGAAATCAGTGATCATCTTCATAATTAGCCAGCCAGCAGCAGCAGCAGTCAGAAGAGGCAACAACAAATGGTGTTAAGGCAAGAGAGGCATATAGATTTAAAGATAGAGATGGGTAGAGAGAGAGAGAGCAGGGTGTATAAAAAAATGTAATTTGTTTTCACACAACATAATCAACATGATAACCCCGACCAAAAACGTCTTTAGATTGAGTCTAATGATGATAAACGCTTTTACTGTGAGGTAACTACAGACTCCTGACACCGACGCAACAGACCCCAGAGAACACAGACAGATACAGATGGAGCTGGGGATGGGTGTTGGAGTGTAGAGGGAGTCAGTGTCCAACTGTCTGCCTGCTTGCTTGCTTTTTAGCCTTGCTGGCCTGCCTTGGCTGCAGCCTGGCCTGGCTGCTTGGGCCAATAATAAGTCAACATTCCAAGGCGTGTTAAGAGATGCTCGATTAAATGCCTCAATTGTGGCTCATATTGAACACCAACAGGCCAACGGGCCAACGTAGCCACATTCGAGCGAAACGCGGACGAACATCGACACCACACACCACCTGTCCGCAGAAGGGGTAGAAGAAGCAGCAGGCTGGCTGGCAGGCTGGCAGGCAGGCAGGCAGCAGCCAAATAGCACCGCCCCCACCAACGGTCAACTTTCGGTCGTTTTTCAGCATCCCCCCCCACCCTGTTTGCTGTTGCTGTTCCTTTTTCCATGGCTGTTTGCTGTTGCTGTTGGTGGGTCGCCTGTTGCCCGTTGCCTGACTTTTAGCACTGTCGACGAAGACGACGACGACGACGACTGGGCGAAATCGTTTAGTGTCGTACCTAACTAAGAAAACGTATTTTCAATATCGAAATTATTATTATTAGCTGACAGCAAATCGCAGTTTTCAACTGACTTTTTGTTGCAGTTGTTGCTGTAGCTGTTTTGCCGGCTCATGTTGTAATAAATGGACAGGACAGCAGACCACAGTATTTGGCCGTTGTACACTTTGTATGATATGCGATTGGTATGTACTAAACCTAAACAAAACCCAAAAGAAACAAAAAAAAAATATATATATATATATTGAGCTCTTTGTGCGCTACATAAAGTGGTGGCTTATGGAGTGTGGGGAAAGCAAATAAAAGAAAAGTTCAAAAAATATTTAACAATTTATTTAACAATTAATTTTCCACCTGTTAATCTATAAACCTATTTGAAATATTATTAAAAAGTAAATAAGTAAAGATAATATAAATATAATATAAATAATATAAATTTAATATAAATAATAAATCCATAAACATATGTACATATAATAAATATTATTTTTATGAATTTACTGGTGTCAAATAGTTTTAGGAATTATTAAAAATTAATTGTTTGCTACATGAAATAAGACTTTGTGGGTTTTTCAGACCAAATTCGTTGGAATAGAAAATTTATTTTTATAATTTATAGAAGATAATAAATGAACAAATTATTCTATATTTCTCTGATCATTAATAATTCTGATGGACATTTTAAATTAAATTTGATGGATCAATTTGCAGACTATTAAGGCTTAAATAATTTTTAAATATTGAATCAAGCAAAACAAAGCGAAGGAAAATTGCAGCAGAACCAAAGAAATCTGATAAGGTACAGAAAATATTCCAATAAAAGTATTATAACAATCTACAATGGCCTACCTTAAAAATCTAAAAAAGATTTTTAAGCCTAAAAATATTGGAGTTCCTTGCTTTAAAGGGTATTCACTTAATCAGCAAAGTCCAAACCCATTCCGTAATCCACACTGCAGCATTCACTGCCATACAATTTTTGTTGTTGTTGCTCGTCTCTCTACAGCGCATATCGGAGACTTTGGGGCCAGCTTCTAAAGGTGAGAAACTGGCCATATTGCTGGCGGGCATAAGGCTGCACCCTCCCCAAGCCGACACACACCCAGGCAGGCAGGCGGGCAGGCAGGCACACAGGCCACAACAGAGCACAGAGAGCCGGCACAATTATATGCCACTTTTATGAAAATATTTTCAATAAAAATAATCATTTTCCAAATGAAATTTATGCACAACTAAGCAGGTGTTTAGTGACGAGTCAAACAGCTGGGCCAAATGCCTTCTTTTTTTTTCATTTGAGGTAAAGGTGAAATGCATCGACATGGGTCGACTCCCCCTGGAGCAGCAGCAGCAGCAGAGATCTTTGGCGCAGCGGAGCCCAAGTGAAAATTCGTTACAGTTGTCGATTCATCAAACAAGATAATTTGCTGTAGACAAAGCCAAGACAATGGGTGCCAGCGCGCATAACAAGGTAAGCTGTGATAAGCAACACGTACAGTATACCTCCGTATCAGTGTACGAATCTTCCAATTAACTGACCAATAAAGATCGGCTTGGGATCTTTTAATTTGTTCAATAGTGCAGACTCACGCCCCCCCGACCGACCGACCGACCGATCAGGCGACTTGTGGTAACAAGTACCGCCTATTGGCCTAGCTGCATGCAACAATAGACACCTTTTTGTAAGCAACAACGGGGGGCTAATCAACTTCAAACGGCGAACAATTGTTACCGAATATCAAACAAATTTTTGACAGGCCAGCGGCTGATTTTTGTTTTTGGTCTGGCAATGGCAAAAACACACTGGACGGGACGGGCGGGAACGGGAAATGGCAGTGAAGATTACCAAGAAGCGCACCACACAGTTTGATTGATGCAAAATGATTGAATCTTATTGAACGGCTGTTTTTTGTTAAGGTGCATCGGGGCACTTAACATCCATCAAAACACTAAACGAGGAGTATTTAGAACGGCAGACACAGAAACAGCAGCAGCAGCAACAACTGCCGGTTGACATATGAGCAACAGCAACAGTCCCAACAGCAGCAGCAGCAGGCTGAAGAATCAGCTAAAAGAAGAAAGGAACTTTTGCCGCCACACCAAGTACCCCCAATCCAAGCCCCAAGGAGCGGCTACTACACAGAACTTTTTGGACCTAACAAGCAGCAGAGCCGGCCCAGAATTATGTAACAACTGCTGCAAATGCAGTTGCAGTTGCACTGGCACTGGGCACTGGCCGCAAATTTGCAAGTCAAGTCACTGGAGATGTCACTCCGCGGATAGACACTCCGGACAGCTGAGCAAAGCTGCCGCCGCGCATCGTTGTGGCCCAGGCCCTGGCCCGGCCCGGCCCGGTTCCGACAATGGCAAACCGTTGCCTGCCCGTTCGACTTAATCTTAGCATGATTGTGCAATATTTGTGGAGTGTCTGTGCTAGTGTCCGTTGTCCTGGCAAGGTTGTTATGGACGCACGCTGTTTGTTTGTGCCTGTAAACATGTGTGCAGGCAGGCAGGCAGTCGAGAAAACCCGCTAACCCAACCACCGCTGCTTAACCAACCACCGCTGCTTAACCATCCAACGCTGCTTAACCATCCACCGCTGCTTAACCCTTGAGTCTGGCGAAGGATGATCTCACGCCGCGACAAATTGCTGCAACAGCCGTGGGAGCAGCTACGCTATGCCCAGCATCGGGAGAAGGTGATGTCTGCCCGCCCGGCCATCGATACGCATACGCCACGCATCCACGAGCACGTCCAACGCAAGTGGAAGAAGCAGCAGAACGAGCGTGAGCGTCAGCAGCAGATCGAGCGTGAAAATCTACGGCTGCTGCAGAAGCTGGGCGACATCATGCGAACGAAACGAATCAACAATCTCTGGCTGGAGCCGCGACCCAAGTGAGTCTGTCCATGGCCAGATAGACATTCCCAGCAGCATCAATTTGTCTTCCTTTTTGCAGTTTTCTGAACCGCGAGAAGCAGTTCCCCACACGCCCGTACTCCAGTCTGCCAGAGATTGTCACCATTTATGGCAATCAGCCGCCGGGTCCGCTCATCTATGGCATGCTGCCCAAGCCCACTGTGGTGGGTCGCTGTCCCACCTGCAGCGGCAATCCGGAACGCACCGAGGTGGCCATACCCGAGCAGCGTACACCCTGGGCACCGGCCAGAAAGTCCTGGAACCGCAAGACCCAACAGCCGCTGCAGCAGCAACGTTGCTACCACTGCGGCTCTTTCAAGAGCACCGAGCGCAAGTTCTTCGAGGACTACTCCTACTCCTTTGACGGATGATGAAGCGACAAAGCAATTACGAAAATTAAATGCGCATTTATTAATCAAGCCTTTGGTATGTTGGGCGGCAGGGTGGCAAAGGTGAGGAAACCTGTGTGCCCGGGCAGCGTTTGGGGATTGCTCGATGTGAGGTACTTCTTCAGCTCCTTGGGTGTTTTGCTCTCCTCAGCGTTGGGTGTGGTGTTGGCGGCGACTGGCTCATTTGTTTTGGGCAATTTAAGAAACTCCAAATCGATGACGGGCAGTGAACGGGTCTTGATGACGCTCTCCTGCTGCAGCACCTCCATGGAGCAGATCTCATTGAAGCCCAGTTTGGTCAGTTCTTGGATGCAGCGCTGTGACTGCTCAATGCAAGGTGAGAATGAGCAAAAGCGGCCGCCTGTGGAATGAGCCATAAAATGAGAAGGGAAATTAAATATTTTTCAAATATTTTTTTTATTTTCTCAAGCTCCATCCCCGTAAGCTTTCCCCACATTTTGTGCTTGTACGTGGCCAGCTTTTGCTGCCTTTGCCTGGCAAACAATCGAAGTTCCAATTCCCCTAATGACAAACGTTGCCCAGCCAGCGAGCACCCAGCAGCCAGCAGCCTGCCGTGGCCACATCAAGTGTCAAAAGCGGCCTCATTCAATGTCAGGCACATTGAAATGGCAGCCTGACTGACTGACTGACCGCTTCACTGGGGAGTCTTGATTGCCGACCAAGCCTCAGTCTCGGACTCAGCCTCAGTCTCAGTCTCGGGAGGCGGCCGCTAAAAGGGCGCTGACAACTTGTTGTCAACGCGAGCGTTCTCTTCACTTACCCGACAACTTCAACGCCTTGAATGCATGCGGCACAGCCAAATCCGGTGCGGGCAGATCCAAGAATACCGCATCGGCGGCCCCATCCAGTTCGCTGCTGAAACCCAAATTGCACACATCCCTGTGATAGACGGTTACGTATGCGGCGAGGCCGTGCCGCTTAAACTCATCGCGTGCCTGGTCGGCGCGAGCCTCATGAAAATCGAACGTATGCAGATGACCGGTGGGCTTGAGGGCGCGCAAAAAGTAGTGCGACAGGGAGCCGGAACCTGTTCCAGATTCAATGACAACGGCACCGGGTCGCACCTCCAGCTGGTGCAGAATCATACTTATATCCGGCGTGTAGATGATCTGAGTGCGATGCGGCAGTGTCTGAGTCCAGAGCTCCGGTGTCGGCTGCAGCACATTTGCCCAGCCCTTGGACAGCTCCACGCGGCTGCCGTACTCCACCCCAATGATGCCTGCAAACGAGAGTTCAGTTCATCAGCAACAAGTTAACCGAAGCGAATCACTGAAAACCCAATATCAACTGACTTTCAACTTTAAGCGAGCCGTAGTTTGTCTGGAAGATGTGTTGTATGGTTTCGCCTTTTTTGTTCACTATTGTGGGCACCGCCTCAATGGCATGCATGGAGTTGACACTCAAGTATAGGATCACAATGTCCCCCTGCTCAATGTGGGTCTTCGGTTTAAGAAAACTCATAATTTCAGTCAAAATTTCAACAATTCACGATTTATTTACAAAATGTGCGCGTGTTTAACTACTTAGTGGTGGTCGATTTCCAATCATCGATATATTTCAAAGTAGTGTTGTAAAGTAAATGGCTTATCATTTAAAAAAAATCTGGACTTTTAAAATGTTGCACAACAGTATACAACTAAATTAAATTAACATACAAACATGCACACTCAAGAATAGCTAGCAACAGCTACGAAGCAATATGAATTAAGGTCAAATTAATAATTAGATTTATCGCACTAAGCTATCTATTATATCGATAAGGAGTTCATATATTTACGGTATATCGGTGTATAATAAATTAAATCGGTATCGAAACTCCCAAGCGCACGTTTTTTTAAATTTAAAACAGGGTTTCTAAATAAAAACCGAACACCAAACTTTTTGGTACCTGTCAAATTTATTAAGCGGGACATAGACTGTGAATATGCGTGCATAGAACTTTTGACATCCGCATCTTCATTATCTTAAATAATTTATAAAAGCATTCTGAAACGTTTGCACTCCAGATTCGAGCGTTTCCTTTCGGGCTTCAATTGGTTTGTTATTTTTCACCACAGGTTGGGTCTTTTCTTCTGCAGCCTGCAAGCGCTTTCGGGCTTCAATTGGTTTGTTATTTTTCACCCCAGGTTGGGTCTTTTCTTCTGCAGCGTGCAAGCGCTTTCGGGCTTCAATTGGTTTATTATTTTTCACCCCAGGTTGGGTCTTTTCTTCTACAGCCTGCAAGCGCTTTCGGGATTCAATTGGTTTGTTATTTTTCACCCCAGGTTGGGTCTTTTCTTCTGCAGTGTGTAAGCGCATGTGATTGCTCAGATCGTTTTTTCGCTTAAAAAACTTTAAGCAGTGGGGGCACTGGTGGGGTCGATCGTCTGAGTGCGTACGGCTGTGTTTATGTAGTTTGTACTTGTGTGGAAAAGACTTTGGGCATACGGGGCATTGGTATGGACCTTTACCCTTGTGCCTAAGTAGGTGAGTCTTCAGATACTCTTCCACTTCAAAGGCCCTCGGGCAGTGGGAACATTGATATGGCAGCTCCCCCGTGTGCGTACGGTTATGTTCTTGCAGGCTGCATCTTTTCAGAAAAGACATTTCGCACTGCGTACACTTGAACGGTCGCACACCAGTATGCGTAACGAGGTGGCCGTGCAGCTGGGCTTTTTGTTTAAACGATTTCGTACATTCGGTGCATTGGAAGGGCCGTTCCCCCGTGTGCGTTCGCAGGTGTACTCTTAGATTGCATTCTATGGAGAAGGCTTTTGGGCAGAGAGTGCACTTGTAGGGTCTGGTGTGGGAACGTATGTGCTTGGTCAGTTGATATGGTTGCTTATATGACTTGGGGCAGTGTGGACACTGATGCAATTGCCTGCAAGCGCTCGTACGCAGGTGCTCGTTGAGAGAAGGTTTTTGTGAGAAGGTTTTGGAGCATTGAGTGCACTTGTAGGATTTTGTGTGGCAACGTGTGTGTGTGGTAAAATTATCGAGATTCTTAAAGGACTTGGAGCAGACCGAACACTGATACGGTCGCTCTTTCGGACTGTGAGTACGGCTGTGTGTATTAAGCTGGAATTTCAGTTTAAATGACTTTGAACAGTGAGGGTGAGCGCATTGATAAGGTCGGTCGTCTCCGTGGGAACGCATGTGATACCGTAGACTGTTGGATGTCGCGAAAGACTTCGGGCACTGAGGACACTTGTACGGCCGCTCCCCATGCTGACTGAGGATGTGTTCAGATAGCTGATATTTTTTTGCAAATGAGTTTGTACAGAAAGAGCAATTGAAGCGATGCTCAGAGATGTTATGGCCAGCATCTTCATTGGGTTTTAATTGGCTCGGACTATCCGACTGTGGCGAATCCTTGTCCTCTGCTTTATCCTCCTCCATCAGTGTGAAAAATAGTTTATGGCTCTGCTTACAGGTCTTCTTCAGATTGAATGCCCTCACTGCATCCTCCAGGCAAGTCGGACATATGTTTTCAGACAGCGAATCCCCACGCCTAACCACGTATCCTGTGCACTCTGATATCATCTCGGAGATGCGAGTGTCCGTGTCCCCTTTTCGTGGCTCATCAAAAATGTTCGTGAATGGTCCGGCCACTGCCATGCAAACTCTGCACATTTGATTCATTTTCCTGCAAGCAAATGAATTTTAATGAACAATGTACATAGAATTAAATGGAATATCAAACACACTAGCAACCAAATCGCGAAGTCGTCGGATTTACAAAATTATTTGTTTTGTTTTGTTTGGCGAAAATAGAGGGAAAAATAGACGAAAAACCAAAAAAAATCTCCCCTTCCTCATCGGTATATTTTAATAGTGGCAAGGTATATTTCGGTATATTTTTTACGAACAGACGGTATATTTTGTCCATAAGTCCTTGGTCACACTGCCGGTGACGCTGTCTCTTTCCCTCTTTTGGTTTTTCAGCGAATTGGAATTGGTTAAAACTATTTTTTTAGTTCTGAGAGGGCCAACTAGCTAGCAATATTAAACTGAACATGAAAATCATGGAATACGATTTTAATTAATAAAATAGAACGTATTTTATGTAACTTTAACATATATTTTATGTATTACAGGTGAAACATGTCGTTGGTAATTTGTGTGTTACAAGGAGCTACCAGGAGCTTTTACAAACAGTATTATCTTCCGCGGTTTAACAAATAGAGGGTTGTTAAGTGGGTTAAGTCTTGTTTAATCGCCGGACTGCCCTGGTTTTTTAATGGTATTTCTCGAAACAGAATTGGTATTTAATGGTATTTATTTGTTGGCCGGATGGTATTTTTTATCGTTACCGTCACGGTCACTCTGTTTCCCTCCCTTTTGGTTTTTTTTACGAAAGTACGTATGCTTGATTTCCGTATAATCCGCCGACATCCTGCGATTGGGCTGCGAAAAAAGGCCAATTGGAATGGAAGACGATGGACGAATATGCCAACCATGTTTTCACAGTTTACTCATGTGCAATTGCATTGTTTTTCCCCTCTATTTTATGACATTTTGTTTCCCCCGTTATTCGCCGGGAATTTGTTTGTGCTAAAATGACTTTGTTTTGGTCGCAGCCGCAAAATGGTGCAGCGATTGACTTTGAGGAGGCGTCTGTCCTACAACACCCGCTCCAACAAGAGGCGCATGTAAGTAGACCGTAGCAAAAATGGTGCCGAATTCTGATCATTGATTTGTTTACAGTGTGCGCACTCCCGGCGGCCGTCTGGTTTACCAGTATGTGAAGAAGAACAAGACTGTGCCACGCTGCGGGCAGTGCAAGGAGAAGCTTAAGGGCATCACCCCATCCCGGCCCAGCGAGCGTCCACGCATGTCCAAGCGCCTGAAGACCGTGGCCCGCACCTACGGCGGTGTCCTGTGCCATGGCTGCCTGCGCGAGCGCATTGTCCGCGCCTTCCTCATCGAGGAGCAGAAGATTGTCAAGGCCCTGAAGAGTCAGCGCGAGGCACTCGTGAAGCCAGTCAAGAAGGTGGAGGTCAAGAAGACCACAAAGGCTGCCGCCACAAAGAAGCCCACCGGCAAGACCGCAGGCAAATCTGGCGTCAAGGCCGCCGGCAAGAAACCCGCACCCAAAGGCGTCGTCAAGTCCAAGAAGTAGATTGATACTTGAGGGATCTTGTTTGAAACATTAATTTTGGACGTGAAAACATTTTGTAATAAAGAAAATACAAACTGGAACGATTTGTTTGTTTGAATTTTGATTTGCGGGTGCTGTAAACAGCTGTTGAAGAGGTAAACAAGTTCTGTGCTGCTTCTTGATTATTTGCCATTCACATTTTGCGCTTACATTCGACCAACAAAATAATTAATAACTTTATAATGCCACAAGCTGCCACCAAACCATATGAATCGTAAGCTATTTATATGTTTACACGTGAGACACTCAATATATTTGCTGTTTTATATAATAGAACCCTAAGATTGCCGTTTGAGACGCCACGCTTGGCCGAAATCGCCTACCGTGTCTTGAGTGTGGACAAGGAGCCTCGTCGAAATTTCGTGCAGAAAACATTGAGCCTGGAGCTGGATGTCTTGGTGGTACATTTTTATGCGGACCAAGTGAAGAATCTGCGCACGGCCATCAGTTCGTTCTTCGAGGCCCTGCTGCTCTGCCAGGACACCATCAAGCAGTTTGGCGAGACAACAACAGCACCGGAAGCGGCAGAACCACAGGAGGATAACAATGCCGGAGCACAGTCCAGCACCGACTCCGCATAGGGCCATCTATGGCTTTGCGTTCTATATGCTGTTTACGGTTCTGTTTATTGTATACGTGGCCTGGGCGCTCCTCCCCTTCGAGTTTGGCCTGCAACCCTACTTGCCGGATAAATATTTTGCCGTTTTTGTGCCATTTCTGGTGCTCATGTTCGCTTGGTTTTTCGCTTTCCTCATCTATCCGGCCATTAATATGTCGCTGACTGTCAATGTGGATTCCATCCATTCCGTTGTGGACCCCAAACTAGCTCTACCCAAGGGCACAGCATTTACATCCTGGTCACAGCTGAAGAATCCGCAGCAAGACTCTCCATCAAAGCACAAGAAGCCGCCACCAATCAACTGTAAACTGTGCAGGACATCGCACAGGCCAGTAACGCGAGCACCCATAGCCCCCCTAAGATTCCTCGACCTCCAAGAAGTCAATACAGCATATTACAACTAAAAAAAACTAACAGATTTCGTTTATTCCGTGCAAGAAATTCATTTTCTTCGGACCGTTGTCCAGCCATCTTCGGGCTCAACGAACTCCTCAGCCTTCTGCTTGCGTGTCTGGGAGCGGGTGACACGCCCACTGCCGCTAGGAGCTTCCTCCTCCTCGCTCTCATCCATTTCATCGTCATCATTATCATCGCCGTCCTCGTCCATGTCGTCGTCCGAGGACGAGTCGCCGTCTACGGGTGTGTACGTTACTTTGACATCGGGACGCAGCCACTCCTTGCCGGGTGGCAATTTGCTCAGCTCCGTTTCAATCTCTGGATACTGATTCAGCTGGGCCATCTGCTTGTAACGCAGTAGATTCCGGCAGATCTCTGGTATGGAATTGTCGTCGCACAGCGTGTTGAATTCCTGGTCCATGAGCTCTTCGATCACCTCCTGCAGTTCGCCCTGCGTAATGTTTTCGTTTCCTACACAATATTGATATGTGTAGTCCATGATTTGGATGGCCACCTAGCAACAAAGTTCTTTTAGGTTAGATTTCAAGCCTAAAATGAATGCAGAAGTGGTCTCACCTGCTGGCCATTGCGTCCGCCCATGCCATGTTCCACGGCGAGCCTCAAGTTCTGCCAATTGTTGAAGATCTTCTCAACAATTAGTCGAAAATTCTTTTGGAACTCCGTTTGTTGTGTGGCGGCGGCCATCGCGTGTGCTGGTTTAGTGTTGCACAACGCGGCAGTGTTCTACTGCTTGCCTTTCGCAGGAAACGTAAACAAGCTGTTAATTTTGCGCCAAAACATTAAAGAAAATATCTGGAAAATCATGTCGGATGACGAGCATATAGCCGATCTTGAAGCGGAGGCTGCCTTGGGCAATGACGACGAGGAGGATGATGATGATATGGAGCAAATAACGGCACAAAAGGTAGGCGTCTCTTGGGACATCCTGGAATCAATGTTCAATCTGGAATCAACAGGTGCTCGAGATTCTGGAGACAGCCTGGATCAATGAAATGTGTGCCCCCGAAATACTGCCCAACCAGACGGACATGCTGGAGCTAATGGTCTCCCAGGTGTCTCACATGGAGGAGCAAATGAAGGACTTGGACAAGAACGATTTCCGAGCTGTGGTGCACAGCATGGAGCTGGAACGTGTGCGCTACATCATGGCCAGCTACCTCAGATGCCGCCTGCAGAAAATCGAGACCTTCACCCAGCACATACTCAACCAGGAGGAGGCGCGCGAGCCGGACGACAAGCGCCTGTCGCCGGAGGAGACGAAATTCGCCAATGAATTCTCCAGCCATGTGGATGAGTATTTCCATAAGGTGGCCACCCAGTACATGCCCAACCAGCAGCGTGGCGAGCTCGAGCAAAGGATCGTTACACCCAACCTGATGAGTCATGTGTTTCTCAAGGCAAATGTGGCAGGTGAGCCAAACTCTTTTAAATGGAATGGAATCCCAATTTAATGCATGGTTTCTTTACATTTTAGTGCCTGCTGTGATTGTGGGCGTGGACGACGAGGAGGTCGACATGGCGCCCGGTTCCCAACATATTATTCCATATCAACTAGTGGCCGACTTGGTACAGAACAACCAAGCGCAGCTGATTTAACAGATAAAATAGACTTTAAAAAAAACATACATTTTAATACAGCAAAATGTCATGTTTCCCATGCGTTTCAGTGTATATTTTGCCATAAATTAATTAATTAACTATATTAAATGGGTTGTTGCCATTCCAATTGCGACGTGGGCGCAGCCAGTGCTGACAAACGTCTGAGCACTCTCTCCACTGGAAAATGGTGGATGGTGGTGTCTCTCGCCCCTATATACACATACCACGCAGCCAATTAGCTTCATTTGTCAATGTGGCGGGCTTTTGCGCGATTGCTACCCAGAGCATTAGAGTGTGGGCCAGGAGTGGTGCAACAACAACAACTAACGCTGACGCAGCATTTGCCACATTCGAACGCGAGCGATTTCTGCAGAACGTATTACCGCAACACACACAACCTCCTCGAACCCATCATCATGACCAGCAGTGCGAAGCCAAAGGTTGTGTTCGTTCTAGGTGGCCCCGGGGCTGGCAAGGGCACGCAATGCTCCAAAATCGTGGACCGTTTCCTCTTCACGCACCTGTCCGCGGGCGACCTACTGAGGGAGGAGCGTTCGCGCGAGGGTTCAGAGTTTGGCACGCTAATCGAGGATTACATACGTAACGGGAAAATTGTGCCCGTAGAGGTCACGTGTTCGCTGCTGGAAAACGCCATGAAGAACTCGGGTAAATCGCTCTTCCTCATCGACGGCTTCCCACGCAACCAGGACAATCTGGACGGCTGGAATCGTCAGATGTCCGAAAAGGTAGACATGCAATTCGTTCTCTTCTTCGACTGCGACGAGGAGGTGTGTGTCAAGCGCTGTTTGACCCGTGGACAGGGCGGCTCTGGACGCTCTGACGATAATCTGGAGAGTCTGAAGAAGCGCATACAGACGTACAACAACGATTCGTTGCCCATTATCAAGTACTTTGATGGCGCCGGCCAGGTTAAGAAGATCGATGCCAGTCCCGATGCCGATCAGGTCTTCAGGGAGGTGGAGCGAACGTTCCTGTCCAGCGGCTTCTAGATGCGATGCGATGCGATGCCCCCTCCAATCCAAGTGAAATGTTATCTCTTCAGCTCATTGTTTAATTATTTTATGTGTGTGTTTAGCCTTATCTTTAATGTAGCAATGCTATCCTCTATTCCCCACCCCCCCTGTAAAAAATATATATACGCTTGTTATTGTAATTTAAGAACGAACGCTGTCCAATTACTTATCGATTTTCCGCCGAACACGCGGGCGGCGGTAGGGGTAGAACAAGCACCTCAAGCACTCACAATTGAATAACATTTGCACTTGGAAAATACACGAAGCGAGATGAAACCGGTAGAGGCATCTCTTTAATAAAAATACGCTTGGAAAACAGCAGGCAGGCAGGCAGATTCTCTCGGACTCAGTCCTTTCGCAGTTTGTCAAGGCGCGCCTGGAGGTCGGCATCAGCATCGGACATGGGTGAGGTGCCACCGCTGCCACCGGCTGCGCCAGCGCCAGTATTCGCGCCACCGCCTCCGCCGCCACCACCACCACCGCCGCCGCCACCCACAGCGCCGGCAGCCACAGCAGCTGGTGTCTTCTGTGCGCCAGCACCGCCGGCTATGGACAGCGAACCAGAGGCATTGGGCAGGTCGCCCAATTGCTCGCCCAACTGCAGGCCCAACTCGTCGAGCACTTGTGAAACGACAGCATCGGTCTCCTCCTCGTCGCCCTCGTCCTCCATGGCATCGTCGATGGCATCGTTGATCATCTCCTCCTTCATGTCCATCATTTCCGATTGCTTTTCAAAGTCCTGCAGGATCTTTTGTATTTGCGGGAGATTCAACTGGCGGTTCATGTTCTGCATGGCCTTGGTAACGCCTGGAATAGGGAAAAATCCAAGATTAGAGAAGGTGAATCAGCCACAGCAGTCCACACCCCACACTCCACACCCACCTTTCATGGCCTGGGCCATTGTGTTCTGTGACTTGAGCGTTTGTATCTTGAGGGAAACCGCTTGAATGTTTGCCTTCATGAGCATGAATTTCTTCGCATAGCGCCGCGTGCGCACCAAATCCTTGGCCATGATCTTCACCGCATCCATTTGGCCCTCCTTGGCCATTTTCTTGATGTCCGCGATGATTTTCTTCTCCTGCTGCTCCATTTTCATACGCTCCCGATCCAGGTCCCGCATCGCCTTGTTCAGGGCGCGCTGGTTCTTACGCAGCATCTCATCGGGGCTGATCTTTTTGCCAAAGAGCCAATCCATTTTCGCTTAATGTTTCAACTACAAACTCTACGATTGATGTGAGGAGGAAATATGACGGAATTCAAAGATTACTCATCGAAGAAACACAACAAAGCAACCAGTGCTGCCAACTTTTAGACTTATCAGATTAACCTGGCTAGAAACCTCTAACAATTTGAGGAAAACAGTTGAAGCTCAAAAAATCGACGGTTGCCACCAGAATCTTTATAAAATTAAAGCTTACACCACAAAGTGCCACTGATGTCATCCGATTTCAATAAATGAACATCGCTATATTGGCGTTGAATTTCTGCAATATTTTCAACATTAAGGTACTTAGCACATACGATTTTGCTGAACAGCCAGATTTGACGGGAAACAAGCTGAATCGGCAGCACGGCTGCCTGTGCGAATACAGCTACGAAGAAGAAGCACTGGCGCTGTGACGTCCCAAATGCTTGCGTTTCGCTGGGAATGGCTTCTGCTGCAGTTTACTCAAACAACATGAAGGAATTCGACGATTTTAACTTTAGTGTGGATAAATGTAGGTTTGCTTAACTAATTTGTATGGTATTTAGCACCTAAAGTGTGTAACTTTGCAGACACCAAAGAGCTGACCCGTGAATGTGTGGGCGGCAGTGATTTGCAGCAGCGAAAAAAGGAAATCGAGGCCTACAATGAAACGACGGCAGCCACTCTCAAGCAAACATGCAAAAAGAACTACATGGAGTTCATTCAGACGGCCAAAGAGATATCGCGTAAGTTGTACGAAAGTATACGCCCTTTAAATGTTGTCTTGATTATCCCCATATTAGATCTCGAGTCGGAAATGTATCAGCTATCGCATATTCTCATCGAACAACGCAACATTTTGGCCACCATGACCGATGGGAAGGCCACCTCCCGCCTGAAGGCGGACAGCGTGGAGGCGGAGAGCAGTGCGGCCGCCGATGATGTGCAGAACAGCCATGCCACACGGGCGGTTAAGGAAATGGTGCAAGGCTTCAATGGCAATCTGGAGGGCAAGACGTTCCTCAATGAGGGCGCCCTAATCGAATTGGATGCAAATGATTACAGGCCTATACAGCGGGTGTTCTTTTTTCTGTTCAACGATGTGCTCATCGTGTGCAAAGTGAAGCATGACAAGTAGGAGGTTTATTTGGCATTTAAACATACACAGAACTCAAACTAGACACTTCCTTTCAGGCGCCTGGACTTCCTCACCGAATACGATCCCAAGAAAATAGCCGTGATCAATATCAAGGATTTGGATGGCGTTAAAAATGCCATCAATATCATCACCCCAGATGGCTCCAAGATATATCAAAGCATCACCGCCGCCGGCAAGACCGAATGGATTGAAAAACTCGAGGAAGCCTTCCGTTTCGATCAGCAAAAGAAGTCGAAAAAGGGACAGGCACCGCAGCCACCCACGCGGGCCAAACAACAGTCGTCCAAGTCATCCACACCGGAGAAGGTTAGCAGCACGCCACCACTCGAAACGCCAACAGAGCCCAAGTCCCTGGAGGATGAGACGCCCGAGTGGCTGAGCACGGCCAGCGAGGAGATTCAAACATTGGTTGCCCAGCGCCACTTTGAGGATGCCCAGGAGCTGATCAAGCGCACACAGCAGTACGTAAAGGGCGAGAACCGCAAGATGGTTACCCAAGCGGAGAGCATTGAGAGCAAGGTGAAGCAGCAGGAGCTCAAGCTGATCAATGTCCTGCTCAAGGAGCTCTCGAATAGCCATAATCGTAACTTACAAATCGCCTTGAGGGCCGCCAAGCGGCCGCTAAAGATACTCGTGGAGATGGGCCGCTATCGGCAGGCGAGTGCCACCCTGCTGAAGGTGTGCGCTGTAAGTCTGCGGGTGTCGCAGCGCGAGGCGCGTAGGAATAATGCCGATATATCGGAGCTATTCTTTTGTGATCTGACGCAGGTGGCGTGTGATTATCTCACCGCCTTTGAGCAGCAGCCGGCGTGTGTGAGTGGTAAGTGGGGGGAAAACCAACTAACTAAATCTCTACCATAAATTAACTCTTCTCCCCTTGCTCTCCTGCAGCTCTTGTCGTCTGGTGCAATGCCGAGCTGCAGTACTTTGCCAGTCAGCTGATTAAACACTACCTCACCAAAGGCACCTCCCTGGAGACAGTGGCCAAGTGTGTGGAGCGTGTGCGCAAGCCATCCACGAAGCTAACCGAGATTGGTCTGGACATTAGCTACCATCTGGAGGGTCTGCTGCGCACCACCCTCGAAGCGCTGATCGAAGAATCCAAGGAGCGTCTGCTGGACTCTGTGGGACGCACCGAGGAAAGCTGGCAGCCCTACAATCTGCAAACTAAATCAAATCTAAAGCGTTTGCTGCTCGAACTGGATGTCCTGGGCATCGATGTGCGCGCACAGGCGACGGGCGACACTTGGATGAACCTTACACAGTCCACGGTGGTGTTCATACGACACTTTCTGCAGCTAACCGAACACTGCGGCGGCCTGGCCAAGTGTGAGACGCTGCTGCAGAAACTGGAACTGCTGCTAAAGGAGCTGTTTATCGCCCATCACTCACTAAAGCCGCCCAGCGACATGGCTGTGGATGTAAGTGGCGAGTTTGTATTCATTTTTAGCTACTAACTTTACTCCTTGTTCCGCCCTGTTCTTTGTTTGCAGCCCAACTTTGTGATGAAGAATAAAATCTTTTTGGTGGACAATCTGCTGCCCATAGCCATTGACAAGTTCCGACAGATATCGGGTCGCCAGTGCGAGATCTTAAGGGAGCTGCACACAAAAATGTCGCGTCAGCATGGTGCACCATTGCCCCGCCAGCGCAGTGTCTATACCACAGATGTCTTTTAAGGAGGGATTCGAGGCGACGCATTTTTTTGTGATTGCTTAATTTTTTCGATTACATATAAGTTTTTTTTTTATTTTTTGTCGTTTTGCTTCAATTATTTATAATATAATTATATACATATATAACCACAATAATAATAATATTTTGTAAAATTAAAAATCGAAGCGTGTGCTGCACTCTAAACTCGGGGGCGCGAGGCGTGCCCACTCTCTATATATACTCGTACGTATTATATATATATATATATATAGATTTTGTTTTTGTATATATAAATCGATTCTTCACTTTCTAAACACTAAACAATTTAGATGTTTGTTTTTTTTCTTCTAATTTCTATTTCGGTTGTGGCTCTCTTTTCTCTCATTTTTTTGTTAGCTGCACAAAATATAGGATTTTAGTTTGGTTCTGAGGGGAGGGGGAAACTAAAAGAGGGGCTTCACACACACAAATAAATGTTCCCCCGTTAACCCTGACAAAGGTGACTGCCCCCACAATGCGTGAATGTATGTGTGTGTGTGTGTTTCAAAATTTCTGGTTTCCTTTTTGTTTTGTTTTAAATTTATAATGTAAAAACTCTTAACTAAAATCCTTACTAGTTATATTCATTTATATTTATGTATACTTTGTTTTTTATGCAAATGTGTGTGTGTGTGTGTGAGGGGGGAGTGGGCTTGGGTGGGGGGACAACTTAAAAATTACATTTGTTTTATTTGCATTTATATCGATTTACTTGTCCTGTCCTTGTTTCTGATTCTCAGCTAAATTACAAAAAACATTCACATATAAAAAACAAACAAAACAAAAACTAAAAGCACTCCACTCTCTTATACTCCTTCTGCTAGCATATCGTTTCTTTCGTTTTGTCAGCCCCTGGTTTTTATTCATATAATCTCAACGCTTCCTGCTCCTGCACTTTTGCAATGACTAATCCATGCAGACAATCGACCGAACATTAGAAGCGGCTCGGCTCTCCTGTCTAGATGGAACGTGGGGGTTAGGTAACGCCGACTTGTTTTCTCTGTTTTCTAATTTAATTATTACTTGTTTTTGTTGTTGTTGTTTTTATATACTCATTTCTGTTGCTCGCTCATCAATTTATTTGCTCTTGTTTTTTCTTTTGTTATGTTTTTACTTGCAATTTGTGTGTGTTGTTGGTTTTTATTGGACTTAGGCTTAGGCTTAGTAGCTACAAGTACGCTTAAATTTTTAGTTTTTTTCCTTTTTCTTTTTTATTTATGTATATATATTATCGAATTTCTCTTTCTCTTTTTTACTTTTCTGCTTCGCTTTTGCTGCCTTTATTCTTCTGTTTTTTGTTTGATGTTGTTGTTTGTTGTTGCTGCTGTTGCGTATGCTGATGCGTTTTGTTTTTTCTTTTCTTTTTCTATTTGCATGATTTCGAACATTTTGTATGTGTGTGTGTGTGGTTGTGTGGTGTGTGTTGTTTTTGTTTTTTTTTTTTAATGTAATAAAAACTATACGCGCTTATTACAAAATGAAAAAACTGCTTGGTGTGGTGTAGGAGGAGGAGTAGGATCTTCTAATAAATAACTTCGTAGACAGTAGCCTTCTTATCGCCCGAGCCCGTCACAATGTATTTGTCGTCAGTTGATATGTCGCAGCTAAGTACGGATGATGTTTCCTTCGACTGCAATAAATAATTCAAATAGATTAGCAAAAATATACAATACAATCCCCCCCATCATTTTCCACTCACCTGGAATATGCTGGCACCGTATGGTGTTCGCCATGCGTTAAGCAGGTTGTCTTTGCCGGTTGAAACGAACCATTTGCCGCAGGCGGCAAATCGCAGCGACAGTACACAGCTCTCGTGCAGATGCAGTTGATACTTGTCCGGTTTCGATGCATGCAGTACTTCCACATGTGAGTTCTCCATGCCCACAGCCAGCCAGTCGCCTATACAACACAAAAAAAATAAGGATTTAAATATGGTTTAAGTCCGGGTAATAATTCGCAAAAACCCACCTGTGGGACAGTAGCCAAGCGAGAATATTTGAGAACTGAAATCGTGCTGCTGCAGTTGGCGGCCCTCGCGCAGGTCCCACGAGCGCACTGTATTGTCGAGACCGCCCGTCCATAATCGCGAACCATCCGGACTGATGTCAATGCACGAGGCACCATCGGTGTGTCCCTGGAACTGGCGCACCAATATCTCGTTGTGCAGATCCCATACGGCAATGTTGCCATCGCTGCAGCACGAGAAGCACACCTTCGAGTCAGGGCTGATGGCCAGCGCATAGCAGGCGGGCGCCGCTGAGGTTAATTCGGCCTTAATTCTGGGCGTTGGGCTGGCCAGGTCCCATATCGACAGATTCGATGCCTCACCGCCCACAATCAGCGTTCGGCCATCGGGCAGTAGCTTCACCGAGCGTATATAATTGTCGCGCTGCAGGCAATCCAACTGACTGACGGGGTTCTTGTTGCCCGGCTGTGAGATGTCCCAGACCTTGACGCACCCCTTGCCGCCCGTATAAACGTATTTTGTAGGATTTGAAATTGTCACGGCGCAGACGACTTCACCGTGCGATAACGTATTGATCTGACGGGCGTGCCGAGGTATACCAACGCCTACCAGCGCATCCGGCGGGAATGGCACCGGCTGTAGGCTACCCTCACCGTTCATATGGAAAGAGTATGCACTGTCAGAAATAGGAAAGAGTTAAAAAAGTCGATTAATATGGGAAATAATCGTAAGGAAATTACAACTAAAATAGTTGAACGCTTTAATTTGGAATCGTTGAGAGGAAGTCCCCCCGCTCCAAAAAACAAGCGAAATTCACTGTTATTTTGGAGCCCCTTAGGGTCTTATGCTATAGGACTGTTTTTTCCTTATATCTACCACTAATTCCGTTCCTCTGCCTAATGCCTCCTAGTCCTGTAATTACTATTCAAATTTTTACATAATTTACATACATTCTTGGCTATTCTACTTAATTTTTTTTATCATTTTCCACAATTATTAGATGCTTGCCATTGCACGTGAACGTCCTAATAAATAATTGGATCTATCTATCAGTAAAGGTATCTTATATGGTAAATATTGAATTAAACCCGCAGTGGGAAAACACGGTAAGAGCTAAACTTCATCAATCAATGTCTATGACAGAAACCTAATACATTGTACAGTTTAAATTAAAAGTTTTCGTATACCCCATGCTCTGTTGTTTAGTGTAAAGATCCTAATCAAGAGAATTTTGCTAAAATTCAGAGATTCCATCACTTTGGTTCTTCTACCACTGTAATCCTATCTAAGAGTCAAATGTTCTTCCCATCCTAATAGCACCCAAGCTGTCATTGAAACTAAATATTGTTCGTTCTGTCCAAAATATTTTGGTAGGGTAGGATAGCACAACTTACGGCTTTCCACCCGTCAGGGCTGAGGGATGTGGAATGCCATTTGTTCGCACATGCGAATGCGGATCGTACGGCATTGGTGGCGGTCGTCCATAGGCTGGATCCGATGGTGGACGCTGGTAGGGATCTGCTGGTCTCTGATACGGTGCCCCCGGATATCCGGCTGGCGGTGGTCCCTGTGGCATCATTTGTTTAGGATTAACACCGCCTGGTGCTGGTGCGGCAGCGTTTGGTGTCGGTGTTCGTGCCTTGGCGCCCGGAGTGCCCGGCTTTTCCATCTATAAGAAATTTTTGGTTATAGTTTCCTGTATATATTCTTAAGTGTCTAAGATCTCTCACATCTTTTGTCTTGAGGCTGGGTGTGGAACGTGACGAGCTGGAGCCAGAGCGCGAGGGCGGACGTTCCTGTTTGATGCCACTACTGCTGGGCTTCTCCAGACGTTCGCCATTGAGGCTTTCACGATCGCGTACCTCCACATGTTCGCCATTGGGACGTGGAGAGTGGGATTCCTGCAAGGCATTCGGATAGAACAACAACAAAATATAATTAATTAAATGGGAATTTAGAGCTGACGGGAGGTGTATTTCTTTTTGGTGTTTCTTTCTTTGGAGTGGGTTAGGGGGGATTTTGGTTGCATTGAATCTGGGGCCGACACTCAACTCACCATTTCATTTGCAACATCTACGACTAAATCTTGATCGCTTTTCTCGCCTTCATCGTCCTGGAAATAATTTTGAAAAAAATACAAAAACAATATAAATAAAAAGTTCATACAAAATAACAATTCAACCACCAAAAAGAACAACAATAACAGCAGCAATAAAATTTTTTATATATATTAATTAAGCAAAAATCATTATTTCTTTTTCTCTTTTTTTTTTTAGTTATTGTTTTTCCTTTTTTGGCTGCGCGTCTCTTATAAATTAGCAATATTTTTATAGGTGTTAGCACAACAACAACAATGACGACTACCACAACAACAACAACTACAAAATGATAGGATAGACTACAGGTTTTTTTTTATTTTTGGTTTTGTTTGGTGAGTTGAGAGACAGCAGCAACAGCATCTTAGCAGCAGCTCAGTGCTGAGCTATATGACATTTAATTCGGTTATGGTTTATGGTTTATGCGGATGAGATGGCTTCTTATATGTATTTATATTGAAGATTGAAAGCTGATTCGTGATACTCACTTGCAGTTGTTGCTTCTCATCTTTCCGACGCTTCGAGTCGTTTTCAATGTCCAGCGGCGAGCGTGTGCGATATTTTTCACGATCCGCTGGTGAAACTGAATTGCGCTGCAAGCAAAAAAAATTCACAAGAACTTTTATAACTGTTTCTGGGCAACAAAATATATTGTATTTACTTACCAAACGCTCTTCGGCGCCTGCTGGTCCCTCCAGCCCTGTGGGCTTTATGTCCGGCCTATGATGATCTGGCGGCGCTTTGGGCAAACCCTGTGGCCCATGCGGCAGTCCCATGGTGGCACCCAATGCACCAAACGGATTCAATGCACCCATCGGCTGTGGCGGTCCGCCTGGCACCTGCTGTGCGTGTATTTGCTGCTACAAATTCAGATTAAAGAAAGTGTTTTAATTAGAACACCGGTTTGGGGTTTCAACTTTGTGTCGTGCAACATTTAAGCGTTGGTGTTGGTGTGTGTGTGTGTGTGTTTACAACGACATCAATAAGAACAGCAACAACAACAACAACAATTTGAAGGCATTTTTGTAAGCATTATTTTAACGGAGTGAAAAAACAAAAAACCAAAAAAACAAATAAAATATGAATAAAATTCACAAAAACAGGGACGGGCGTCAGTGGCATGGTGGCAGTGGAGTTTAGCTTTTAGCTGTGTTTGTGTGGCAGTGGCAAAGTGGCAGAGTGTCGTATGCGGGCGGCAGACAAACAAACAAACAAACAAACAGAAAAACAGTAACAACAGAAAGTAAAATGAAACTCTTGGGCAGGCAGCAAAAGAAAAAAAAAAAAACTTACTAAAAGTTGTTGTATTCCATGTTGCTGCTGATGCTATGCAACGCGGCGGTTTTGGACGTTTTTTGATTATTGTTGTGGTTTTTGGTTGGGTCAACGCGAAATCATACGATTAATAAAAAATTAAGTGGAAGGAAGAAAAACAAAATCAAATCGAGAGCGCCAAAGAAGATTCAAATATTCCCCTCTGCTACAGGGAGCCATAAATAAATTCACACACGCCCTAGGATTAGGCTGCATTCCATTAAATATGTTTCTCTTTGTTGCTGCTGCTGCTGCTGATTCTAATGTCGGGTGTGAACCGACTTATACTTACCCCAATAATCAGATTGAGCTCCTGCATGGTGACCTGCTTCGCACGCTCCACCGCCTGCAGCACTTGTTGCTGATGATCGGCCTGTAGGAATGGAAGTAACTGATTGATCAGTGTATTGAGGCGCTTGGCGATCTCCGTTTGCTTGTGCATCTCCACATTAAGGCCATAGGACATCTCATAATACTGTTGGCACAGGGGGGAAATGGGGGTAAATTCAAGGCATTATTATTAGCTAAACGTTTGCAGATTTATGTGTGAGAAGTGGGGATCTGTCTCTTACCATAACATAATGGCGCTGCATCTCCGTCTTCTCGTTCGCCAGCTTCTCGCACTCCAATTTGATGCTGGAATTCGCAGGAAAAATAATCAACGGGTAAATTAGTTTAGGCGACGGAAGCGAAGTGAAGTCCGCTCCGCTTGCTGGGCCCTGCCAAAGGAAGCAGCGGCAAACAAGCAGCAAGCAGCAAGCGGCGGCGGCGCAGGTTAATCCTATGACAGCAGCGCATATGGCGCGCCAAAACCGGTTTGCTTTGCTTTTTTTTGCAAAAAAAACGCAGCCGCAGCAGCATCCACAGGCCGCACTAACACAGAGACAGAGCGGCTGGCAGGCATATACAAGTGTGCCAGCAGTTGCACAGTGGAGGCTCCCAAGCGAATGGTGCTTCTTCTGCTGGAGGACTCCCCACTGTACTGGCTGGGGCACACACGCAAGACAAGCTTAGCTCCATCTCTGGATCCACACACGCATATCCATCCAAATTCCCAAGAAGAGAGATCTCCCAAGGATTCTACTACTTGCCTGTGGTATTGTGCCTGCAGAAAATTGAACTCCTCCTTGATGCGTTCCAATGTATCGGCGATGGTAAATTTGATTGGGCCCTGAGGTGGTGGTCCCTGAGGTGTGCCAAGTAAGAGAGGGGGGCATAAACAGTAAGAGAGTGTGAGAAAAGGAAGAAACACAATTAGCAAAGCGGTGTGGATTGGGGGGGCCAGAGAGAGAGAGAGAGAGAGAGAGTGGACAACAATGTGCCTCGCGGCTCGCCTCGACTCTCGCGTCTGGCGGGCTGAGTGGATTGGAGGTACTTACCCCGGCCGCGGGGTGACGCACCGGTTGGGGATACATGTTGTTATTTATGGTTGTGGGACAGCAATGATTGTGTGCCGGCTAAAACACTCCCAATAATGGTAAGATGAATAATTCCGGGTTTCGACAGCGACAGCGTTGAATTTGCTATGGGAGCCAGCGCAAATAGTTCTTCTTGTTTCCCGGATGACAGAGAAAGGGCGGAGAAGCAGGAGCAGGAGTGAGGTGAGTGGTGTCCTCGTCGTCTTCGTCCTCGTCCCCGGCACAGCGTTTCCTACCGTCCTTCCGGTTAGCGGCGAGGCGAGCCCGAACGTGAACGTGAGGCAGGCAGGCAGGCAGCGTAGCAAATTTCTTTTGCAAGCGTTTTTATTGCTCTTGTTGTTATATTACTTTTTTTTTTTTTGTTTTTTTTCGAACTTTTTTCTCTGCCGTTTTTTTTTTTATATTTTTCGTTCGGCTCCCAGCAGAAACGTTTCCGAACCACCCGGAAACTTAATGGAACTCCATCGTTTCCATGCTATTCTTCATTTTTTTTTTTGGTATCCTGGGAATGGAATTTTACAACAATTTTTTTAGTTATGGTTTTTTATATTTGCACCATTTTTTTCGATACGTTCGCACATACGCACACACACACATTTAAGTCACACACACTGTCACACAGCAATGGCCGAGCCAGCGAGACACACGCACACCAGCGCACAGCGAGAGACGACTTTTATGACGGGGGTACGAGTGTGAGTGTTTACCGCCGAAAAATCAAGCGCACAGTTGCATGTGGCCTGGGCAAAACTCAAATTGTTACGCAAAATCACAGTTTGACTTTGGCGGGGATTTGCTGGAATATGCCAAGCCACTTTGTTGGGCAATTTGATTATTATCCACCGAAATTGTTTCACTTTTTGTATTAAAACAGCAGCTCCGCACAAACAATATATGAACATATACAGACAGACTGCAATTAAACAGGGTTGCCATGCTGGCCAAATCACAGAATGGGCACATTCGTACTTTTTGGCGTTGGCTTTTATTTTATTGCGAAATTTATGGTTTTGTTTAAGTCATTGGTTGGCAGGTGCTTGGAGGAACAGTCTCCAATCGTGCTAAAATGTACCAAAAACCAATTGTACTGTGGAGCACCAGGCGGCAACACTAGTCCCTGCGAGCAGATACGGGCACGTAGAAACCAGCGAGTGGCCAAATCACACACACACACACTGGCACGAGCACAGGGCAAAAGAAAAATTATACCGTCCAATACAAAAAATAAACAAAAGCAATTAAAAAAAAGCGAGATAGTGGTAGTACCGATTTTATGCGTTGGATTTGCACGTTCAACTGGACGCCCAATGCTAGCGTGAACACTGAAAGAATCTCTTGCGCACTCCGAATTGTTTAATGCAAAATTTGTAGGCACTTTTTTTGAGGATTTTCGCCCGTAATATTGCTTGTTTCAGCCGACCGAACCGACCGCGAAGTGTCTGACAGGCCAAGAGTCGTGTATGTGTTGTGCAGCTTTGGCGGCGGCGCTCTCTCGCTCTCACACACACACAATATCTCTCTCTCCGTCTGTCCGGCAAAGAGTTCTACACGCGCACTCGCTGGACCGCGGCTGGTAAATGGCGTTCTCGTCTTTATGATTTTGCAACAAATTTGCATGGAGTTTCAGCCTTTATTTCACTGATTCTAGTCGCCGCTGCTTGACATTGTATTTGCAATAATTTTTTAAGCATTTGCACTACTTCTTACTGTGTTTTTTTCCTGTTTTTATTATCCGCGTGTGACCGCGCATTTATCGCGTCTGATATACCGAATATACCAGCAAATTTATTAAATATACTATAATATATACCGAAAATCGTGAGTGAGTGAACGAAATTAACCCACTTAGCGCCCTTCTATTTAAACAGGTTGTTCAGTCGCATATTTATGCAGTAATTAATATTACATAATATACACTTATCGAATAAGTCAGGTCGACCCATGTAACGGGAGACATAATAACAAACGACAAAGCATTGTAGCTGAGTCAAAAATAACCGCTTCTGCAGCAATTTCTGCCAACGATGCGATCGCTCGTCAGAGGGCAAAAACACTGGTGCAATTGCTGACTATCACAATTGCCCAATAACACAATATCATATTAAATCCAAATTAATTCAATATTAATTCCAATTCCCTTTTACCATATTCTTACTAGACTCAGCACTTTCTGTACCTTTTGTTACCTATAAATAGAAATTAAGTTTGTTGAATAAAATAGTATCAGAAACAGTACCATCACTGCCTGTTCACTCATTCTCTACAACTGCAATCAACAGAGGCTGTCGCCGTGTCTTCAGACCCTCATTTGCTCGACGTAGGAATCCCTCTCCGCAGTCCAACTGGTTCAAGTTCTAGTTTAGACAACAGGCAGTGATGGTACTGTTTCTGATACTCATTTTATTCAACAAACTTAATTTCTATTTATAGGTAACAAAAGGTACAGAAAGTGCTGAGTCTAGTAAGAATATGGTAAAAGGGAATTGGAATTAATATTGAATTAATTTGGATTTAATATGATATTGTGTTATTGGGCAATTGTGATAGTCAGCAATTGCACCAGTGTTTTTGCCCTCTGACGAGCGATCGCATCGTTGGCAGAAATTGCTGCAGAAGCGGTTATTTTTGACTCAGCTACAATGCTTTGTCGTTTGTTATTATGTCTCCCGTTACATGGGTCGACCTGACTTATTCGATAAGTGTATATTATGTAATATTAATTACTGCATAAATATGCGACTGAACATTCTCCCGGCCGTTGAACTGGTGTTCAACCATCGCCCAAGTCGACTGAAAAGCGGCGTGGAATGGGCGGTGATGATCCGCGTGGCTCTGTTTGGTTGATTGTTGACGGCCTTGGGTTCCATGATCGATACTTCTTCCAGAGAATGAACGCAATAATCAATAGCATTGATATTGCTAGGGCAGCATAAGTAGCGATTTGATGATGCTGCACTGTGTTGAGATGGTGTGGCAGCCTTTGTTGATTGATTGCCACTAATTGCAGGCGTAAATCTTCCAATTCTTGAAGATAGTCTGATGTCTGGTTCTCCAATTGTGCAGTTGCTGGCGAAGGGGGTGTCGTTGGTAAGCGTATGTCCCCAAATCGAGTGTAGGCTGATTTGACTTCACTGATTGTTGTGCTGAAGGTACTGATGCTTATTTCTGTATTGCGAGCAGTGCATCCAGGTGACAGTGAGAGCAAGCCAGTTCCTTCTAGTTGTATGGTTGATGGAGACCCGTTGCAAACTGCCTGAAGTCTCATTGTAGAGTGTGTTGCAAAAATCCATTTATTTGCTTGCTGAGTTTTGGACCACACCATGTCCGCCTTCGTGTGGGTCACTTCACATAAAGGTGCTGTTTTATTGTTAAACAGCTGAAACTCACAGCGATTGTCGACATTGAAGACTGTTTGATGATCAAAGCAGATGTATTCTGCGTTGAGTAGTTTAAAGCAGCGTCGAAATTCTTCTGGAGTAAATCCCATGAATTGATCTCGGTGAGTGTTTACAGTGATTATGGTTGTTTTGAGATTGAACAAGCTCCAACTTGTTGAGTCCCAGACCGGAATCGGCATGATACTGAAAACTTCGAGCTGAAATGTTGAAACTAACGGTAGTGTCACCTTGAAAATGACGTGTGTGGTAGTCAGTGTTCCTTCAGCGCGCATTAGCCTGTATAATTGTATCACATTTTGTGTTGTGACAGGCAACATTTGATCAGCTGGCAAGTGATCCCGGATTTGGTCTAGTTGCTCTCTTAATTGCTCAGGAGATACTAGCGTTGGGCTTATTGTCCGATGGTGAATGCCGATTAATACATCAGATATGTCAGACTGCATACGTTGAAGACTCGTTGTCAGCAGAGTTAGTTGTGCTGTGAGCCCTAGGTATGACTGAATTAGATGATCGCCATGATATGTTCCTCTTTCTCTGCTGATGGTTGCCACTTGTTGTTCCAATACCTTTAGGCGGTTGTCCATGGCTGACTTATCCTTCCTGATCACGGTCATTGTGGAGTCGACAATTGACGTTTGATTTCGTAGTAGATGTAGCAGAAAGTCTTCGTTGGTTTGTACCTTTTCGATTACTTTAGCCATTTTCTCAGCATATGTAGAGTCAAGTACACCGAATAGCTGGTGTGCCACGTTTCCTACTATATCCAGCGGTGATCTGCGTTGTCGAGAGGCCTTCATTAGCATATTTCCTGTTTGTAGTTCTTTGTACAAATGTTGAAAGTGTTGAAATATGGAGTTGCACGCTGGAACATTTTTTAGTTCAGGGCACATGTGTCTTAGTTCGGACATTCCGGCTGACATGACTTGCATATCCTTCCAATATGGATCCAAGTCGTAGTATACAATCATGGTCCATTCGGAAGTGGTCATTCTTGAGGTTCCAAGTTTCTCATAGAATATTCCGGGCTTGTTTGCAAATTGCGTCACATTTATTGATTGTGAACATGCTAATGGCAGCATGAGAAGTAACACTACCAATGTGGATGTTAGTGTAGGTAATGATAACCTTTTTCGCTGTGTTGGTGGCTCCTTTATTTCCGCAATGTCTTGAATAGCATTTTTGGAGCGTTTTGTTGCTACCTCCTCTGAGAATAATGGGGCGAGACGACTGATGGGGCGTTTGTATACGCCGGACGATGTTTTGACATCAACCACTCGTACATGGTTGTCTTGCCCAGGATAAGTTTTGATGATGCGACCCATTGGCCATTTCATTACTGGAAGGTTGTCTTCCTTCACCAAAACTAATAATCCTTCGGTCACGTTTGGAGCGGTGGTTTTCCATTTATGGCGAGTTTGTAGTTCGTGGAGGTATTCCGTAGACCATTGTTTCCAAAATGCATGCTTTAAGCGTGAAACCAATTCCCAGCGCTTAACCAGAGTTTTCTCTTGACGATCGGTGTTGACGTCAGGTGCTGCGGTCAAAGGTTCACCGATCAGGAAATGCCCTGGAGTAAGCGCACTTGTATCCGTTGGATCATTTGACATTGGAGTTATGGGTCGGGAGTTCAGAATTGCTTCAATTTCGATTATGACTGTGTTCAGCTCCTCAAACGTCAAGGATGCTGTTTCTGTGGTTGTAACTAACAGCCTTTTCGCTGATTTTACCGCAGCTTCCCAGAGGCCGCCAAACGATGGGGCCCGAGGAGGAATGAATTTAAAATCCACTTGTTTTTTGTTGCAATGGTTTGTGATCAGAGCATGTGCCTTTTCGCTAAATATTGCTTCTTTCAATTCCTTTAGCTTGTTATTTGCGCCGACGAAATTTGTTGCGTTGTCGCAATGAATAGTCTGACACTTCCCGCGTCTGCTAAGGAATCGCCGGAGTGCTGCCAAGAATGCATCTGTGGTTAAGTCACTTACTAACTCCAGATGTACAGCCTTTGTGGAGAAGCAGCAGAATACGGCAATGTATGCCTTATCTGGCCGTTTTCCTCGGATTTTATGGTGGATCATAATTGGTCCACAGTAGTCAACGCCTGCATTAAGGAATGGGCGTGCTTGCGTGACTCTTTGTGCTGGAAGATTGCCCATGATCTGGTGCATCAGCTTTGGTCTGGCTCTGGTGCATCTCATACAGCTATGTATGATGCTTCTAGCCATCGTCTTGTCGTTGATAATCCAATATTGTTGTCTTGCGATTGCCCTTAATGCTTGGGCACCGCAATGCAGATTTTCCTCATGAAGCTCACGCATAATCATTTTGACTATTGGGTCGTTGTACGGTAGCAGGATTGGATGTTTTGCATTGAACGGAATTTGAGCTTCTTCGAGTCTTCCGCCAACTCGGATGAGCTCATCATCTCCTAGTAAGGGAGATAACGAAATGATCGAACTCTTTTTATCCAATGTTTTATAGCGTTTTAATTGTTTTAAATCCGCTGTGAACTCAACTTGTTGAATCGTTCGTAGGATCATAGTGCGAGCACGCCTTAGTTCTCCTGCGCAAAGTGTCGTTGTAGGTGCTCTATTAATTTTGTAGCAGAAGCGAAACATGTACGCTACAATACGTTGTAGTTTGTTGAACGAGTTGCTATGTCTGCATGTGTATAACTCTTCTCCGAGAGAGCTAGATGCGATTGGCAAGCTGACATGCTTAGCCTTTCTCTCGAGATTGCTGGGCTCAATGATGGGTGGTTTTGTCCATTTATCTTCTGATCCGTGCAAGAATAATGGTCCGTATAGCCATAGACTATGATCCCTTAGCTTGCTTGCTAAGATTCCTCTTGAAAGGACATCTGCTGCGTTGTTGGCTGATGAAACATGACGCCATTGTAATTGGTTCGTCAATGCCTGGATTTTGGCGATTCGATTTGCCACGAATGTGTGGTATGTGGACGCCGATGCGTTAATCCAGGACAGTACAACGGTGGAATCAGTCCAGAAGATTCCTGATACTGTGTCAAGATTCATATGGAGATCCTTTCTAACTCGATTGGTGAGTTCGGCACCTAAAACTGCAGCGCACAGTTCTAGACGTGGTAGGGATTGTTTGGCGGTGGGTGCTACTCGAGATTTTGAGCATAATAGTCGTACAGAGACCTGATTGTTTTTGTAGGTGGCTCGTACGTACACTGCCGCGCCATAGGCTCGTTCCGATGCGTCTACAAAGGTATGTAGATCCTGGGTGACTGGCACTTTTCCATCATATACGTGCCGGGGAATCTCCATTGAGTTTAATGATTGTAGGTCCTCCCGGTACTCCTTCCATTCGTTTTGGAGTTGTAATGGCAGTTCATCGTCCCAATCGAGTTTAATCTCCCACAGCTGTTGCATAAATATTTTTGCCTTGACTATCACCGGGGCAAAGAGACCCAGTGGGTCAAAGGTTTGGGCCAATTCTGAGCACACGACCCTTTTGGTGATGCGTGTTGCTTGGCTTTTTGTGGTTCGTCCTCGCAGTTGGTCTTGTTTTGGCATCCAAATGAGACCCAGCGTTTTCACGCTGTATTGCTCTAATGTTTCACCTAGTTTGACGTCGTTGACAATGTCCTCTTTAGGGATTCCTTGCAAGAGCTGGTCGTTGTTGGAGCACCATTTGCGAAGTTTAAGGCCGAACGGTAGCAATATTTTATTAAGTTCTTGTTGAACTTGTATCGCTTCCTGAATGGTATCCGCTCCAGTAAGACAGTCGTCCACATAGAAATCGTTCTTCAATGCAGCAGATCCAATAGGTAATCTGTGTTGGCTCCGAGTTGCCAAATGATCCAGACATTTCGTTGCCAGGAATGGAGCAGATGTGGTCCCATATGTGACTGTTTTTAAGCGATAGTACCTGATATCTTCAGATGGATTGTTTCTCCAGACTATCATCTGATGAAACTGATCCTCTGGATTTATCCACACTTGTCGGTACATTTTCTCGATGTCCGCTGTGAATACGTACTTATGTATACGAAAACGTAGTAGAATGGACATAAGTTCACTCTGAACTGTGGGTCCGGCATGCAGAATGTCGTTTAGAGACTTTCCACTTGTTGATTTGCATGATGCATCAAACACGACCCGTAACTTTGTGCTGGTGCTCTCAGGTTTGAGTACACAGTGGTGTGGTATGAAGTAGTGTCTCTCCGGCACTTGAGTTGCTGGGACCATCTTCATGTGTCCAAGTCCTTCATATTCATTCATAAATTCCACATAGCCTTTCCAGGTGTCTGGTGAAATCCGTCGCTCTAATGCCAGGAATCGTTTCGTTGCAGTTTCCAAAGACCCCCCCAGGGCTGAAGAGTGTTCGGAAAAAGGGAGTTTTACTATCAACCTGCCATCCGATGCTGTTTGTAAGTTCTCTATAAAGTGAGCTTCGCAATGTGCTTCGATTGGCGTGCGTGGTTTTTCTTCCGTCTCTAAATTGTCCAGAGTCCAGAATTTTTCCATTAGCTCGTTGAGTCCAATTGCACAAATGGATGCGGAGTTGTGTGCAGACCTGATTTTTCCTGCCACAATCCATCCCAATTTTGTATTTTGCAGCAACGGACCTCCTGACTTTGGCTGTTTTTGGTCTGGGAGTAGTAGCGAATAATAGTGTTCTGCTCCGATGAGCATGTCGACCTTTCCCGGTTTATAGAAATCCGGATCTGCCAATGGGCAATTGTTTGGTATGTTCAAGTTCATTTCATCGAGTGCCTGCGCTGGTTGATCAGCAATTATCTGAGGTAGTACGAATGCTTCAATTCTTTGCTTAAATCCGCCGTGAAGTGATTTTATTAGAACATTTACTCGTGCTCTGCTGGTCTTTGACTGACCTCCAATTCCTTCGATGCGTAATGTTGTATCATTAAGTTTTACTGACAACATTGATGCCATTCGTTCAGAGATCAGGTTGATCTGTGATCCTGAATCCAGCAAGGCTCTGAAATTGGCTCTCTGTCCATTGTTTGCTTCTACTGCTACTTTTGCTGTAGCTAACAGGTTGTAATTATTGTTACTTGCTGCGCCAACCGTCGGTGCTCTTGGTTCTGTACTTACGCCCGATGGTATGTCCAAGTGCAGCAGTGTATTGTGTTTTTTGTCGCATTTGAAACATGTCCGACCTGGGCATGCATTTGTTTTGTGGCTTGTTTTAAAACAGTTGACACACAATTTCTGCTTTTGTACCCAATTTAGTCGTTCTGATGGTGATTTGGAGCGAAACTCATCGCATCCGTAGAGCCAATGGCTTGCCTTCTTGCAGAATGAGCAGAGAGGCGTCTTCGATTTTCCAGTATTTACTGTTGCACATGTTGTGCCTTTTGGCTCTTTCCTTGACATTTGTGTCTTTTTGCCTGTTCCTAGAACTCGAACTCTTTGTTCTAGGAACTGAAGCATTGTGTCCAAGGCCTGTATTTCCTTTGAGCTTCCCAATGATTGCTCGTACAAGGCTCTGTTAGTGACATCTAGCTTATTTTTGATGACGGCAATCAATATTGGATCCCATGTGGATATATTGATGCCCAATCCCTTTAGTGATGCCAGGGATTCGATAGTTGTAACGTACAACTCTTTTAATGACTTGGAGTCGTCATTAACTGTGTTATAATTTAGGAAGCGGTTTAATACCGTGCTAGCGACGTCTCTGGGATTGTTGTATGTATCAATCAGAATTTCCCAGGCGCTCAAATAGTTTTCTTCCTTTAGATCGATATGTCGGATCAATCTTTCTGCCTCTCCAGTTACGGTTGTTTTCAGATACCACATCTTCCGAACTGTGGGCATGTTTGTTTCATGTATCATACATGAAAACAGGTCATAGAACTGGGACCATTTCAGTATGTCCCCATCAAACTTGGGAATGTTAATGCGTGGAAGCTGCACGTCATTATTGTTTGATGTGGCTGGTTTTGCCAATGCACTTTGAACCTCTTTTTCCAGGGTCAGGTAGGCTTCCATGTTGTATCCTCCTTCCTCTGGGTTATCGTATTCTTCGTGAATAGTAAAATGGACTTCTTGTGCTTGAATCCATAGTGATTTTATCAAATCACTTGATGTACGTCCTCCCGCCTCTGAGAATTGTCTCAGAATGCGTTTTATGGACGCTACTATGGCCTTTTGTCGGCGACATAGTGAAGGCAATTTGCTGTAAGTCTCCGTGGTGACAGCGTGTTCCTCCATTTCGCCTCTTACTTGGGTTCGGGGTCACCAACTGTTAATGTGTGATTGTGTGTGTGTTTTGGTATGCATACGGTACATAAACCGTCTACAAATTTGTCGTCGCAACTAGAACTTGAACCAGTTGGACTGCGGAGAGGGATTCCTACGTCGAGCAAATGAGGGTCTGAAGACACGGCGACAGCCTCTGTTGATTGCAGTTGTAGAGAATGAGTGAACAGGCAGTGATGGTACTGTTTCTGATACTCATTTTATTCAACAAACTTAATTTCTATTTATAGGTAACAAAAGGTACAGAAAGTGCTGAGTCTAGTAAGAATATGGTAAAAGGGAATTGGAATTAATATTGAATTAATTTGGATTTAATATGATATTGTGTTATTGGGCAATTGTGATAGTCAGCAATTGCACCAGTGTTTTTGCCCTCTGACGAGCGATCGCATCGTTGGCAGAAATTGCTGCAGAAGCGGTTATTTTTGACTCAGCTACAATGCTTTGTCGTTTGTTATTATGTCTCCCGTTACATGGGTCGACCTGACTTATTCGATAAGTGTATATTATGTAATATTAATTACTGCATAAATATGCGACTGAACAGGCAGTGATGGTACTGTTTCTGATACTCATTTTATTCAACTGCAATCAACAGAGGCTGTCGCCGTGTCTTCAGACCCTCATTTGCTCGACGTAGGAATCCCTCTCCGCAGTCCAACTGGTTCAAGTTCTAGTTGCGACGACAAATTTGTAGACGGTTTATGTACCGTATGCATACCAAAACACACACACAATCACACATTAACACAGGTGAACAACTTGAGATAAAAGCCGGAAAGTTATACTGTTTGTTAATTCTGCTTGTAAATGTATCCTTTCCACTACTGACAAAACAAAATTACAAATATATTTTTGACCTGAACTGCGGTAAGTCTCGTCCAGTTTCATAATTTTCGTATGTGTGCTTAAATACCCCACTGGTCGACAATGGGTTAGTAGTTCGCATTAAATTCTCGAAAATCATATACCTCGATTTTGCTATTCGATTTAATATTTTTAGCTACCTGGGATCCTCGGCATAGAACACACACTTTTATTTGATTGTTAAAACAATTTTCTAAAAGATTGGTTGTGTTTAAGGACTCCCATTTTATTGGATTGTTTTAAAATAAGGTTTAAACAAGAGGGTAGTTTGCTCGGCATGCAGCTATGGTATACGATACATATAATGTTATTCTATCGCAAAAAAATCATCGCATTTGACTTGGTTTTGGAAAATTACGCATCTCTAAGAGCTTCACATCGCGACTATCGTAGTATATCGGTAAAAGAGATTAGGGCGCGTAGTTTGAAATATAAATCTGAAGCAATTAAAATCACTGCAGTGAATAAAAAATGCATTGTATTTATTTTTCAATACAATACATTAATATAAATATAATATATAATATAAAAGAATTTGAAATTCGGCCAATTCCGTTCCGTTGTTCCATCCATTTGGTCAACTGAAAGGCTGACAAATAAATCCGACTAAACCCAAAAAACCCACAAAAATAAAATGTTTTGATTTTCTTTGTCAATTTGTTATATATTTTGTTTCAATTGTTTTGTTAATTGTTTTCTATTTGTTTTGTTTTGCTATTTTGTTGCCATCACAGTTCGGTTATCACAGATGCGTTTCCATTCTATTTAATATCTCTATCTCTATCTATCTCTATCTCTATCTCTCTCTTCCATCCTGCTCGCCTGCCACTTTACCAGGGGCGCCCCAATTTCTCGGCATCCTCTGGCATGGGCGACGGGGCTGGACTCTCGCAATCGCTGTGATAACCAGATGAGGCGGGGCTGAGGGGTGCCGCATTGGATGATGAGGAGCAGTCCATTTCGCTCTCACTCTCGACGACGGCCATTGTTGTCTGGGCCTCGTGGAACTGCTGCAGGTTCTTGTAGATGCGTCCCAGATGCGTCATCACCGACTTGCCGAGATCAACGCTCATGCCAGGTGTGGAGGCCATGACACGTGACACCTCATTGACGGCATTCATGTAGCCATTACGGAAGCTATCCAGAGGCAGGGCGGACTGGGCGGGCTGTGCGGCTGGTGTAGAGGCGGATGTTTTCTTTGACTTTTGCTGGCGCATAAAGATCACAGCTGATTCGAGCATTTCCGCCTTGTCCATGCGCAGGATGCCATCATCGCCGCGCATCTCGGCGACAAGTGTCTTCAGGTTGTCCAGGCACTTGTTGATGCGTGCCCGACGCTGGCGTTCCAGCAGTGGCTTCTTCACCTTCTGGTAGATCTGTGTCTTGGTGGTGTATTCCATTTTTACGAGTTTTTGTGTGCAGCAAACGAAATGTGGCTCGTTTTTTGCTCTTGCGATGTTGCCTTGTAGATGGCTGTATCGTGAATGATGTTGTTCCCCCGACAGCGATGCGCTTTTATACCCTGGGCACACACACCGCCAGTGCCTGCCCCCCCGCCCCCGAACGAGAATCCACCCTCGGCACGCATGCGCGACTTCGCTGCGTCTCGCTCGCACACACACACACACAGGATCCCGGGGGTACGGTACGCTGCTACACCACAACTCTGCACTGCTCTGGCGCACAGGCGGCACAGGCAGCGGGAGTAGAGTCGAAGAGTTTTGGAACAGCTGCAACATGCTCCGAGGACAATCGCACACACAATCCTTGTGGCTCGTGGCGTGGGAACCGAGCTGAAAGTAAGTTTCTCACACAATTTTTTCTCGTTTGTTTTCCCTTTTGGCCACATGCTTCGCTCGTCTCGTTTTTTTTTTTTTTAAGGATCAGGGCACATTTTTGCAGCTGTCGCTCTTGTTGTTGCTGTTGCTGCTGCTGCTGCTGCCCCTGCCCCATGCTCCCTGCGTTCGCATTGCTCTTTAGGCCGGTGTTATTATCCTTAATGCATACTTCAGTGCCTCATCCTGTCGGTTGTCGGTTGTCGGAGCTATGTCGTTCGTGGATCGCAGATCCGAGAGTCGGAGTCTGAAGTCGCAGCTGAGGAGCTGGAGTCGGGGGCATCTGGTTGTGCGTGGGCCGCTGCTCTCTCTCTCTCTCTCTCTCACTCTCTCACTCTCTCATTGTTATCCTGCCGTGGCATCTCCGCTCTGCTTATTGTTTCATCAATGCATGCAGATGATGATGGCATAATGCCTCTTGCCGTCCGCTTTCCGTTCCCACACTGCCCGCCCTGCCCGATGATGAGTGGTTATTGGACACAATTAGGGATGTGGCAGATTGGCTGCATGTTGGGTCGTGTCGGGTCGTGCTGCTCGCTGGGCGAGAAGTTGGGAGAGTTTCGAGAGGGAGGGCCATGGCCAAACGGGCGCTGGAAGTGTGCCCTGCCGCCTGAGGTGAGACTTTGACCTGAGGTGAGGCATGGCATGCGCTGCCATATGTACCTCCCCATGCCGATCTCTACCGATCGCAACCCCCCGCCTAATTGGTATGTAATAGGTGGACTTAATGATCGATCGATGGCACGGGGATGTGAGATGAGGTGAGGAAAGTCGAGGGGAGAGGTGGCTGTGTTGATCCTTGACAGCATTCAACTTTAATGGGCGAAGCAGGGAGTTGGTGTTGGGAGGTTGTATTGGTTAATTTTAGGTGGTAAATACACATGTTTTAGGGCGATATATTGTCGTATTTGAGGCGCACTGCGAACATAGTGGTAGTGGGTGTGGGAGTACCCTTTTTTATGCCCTGTAGCGTACATATAAGGAGATGGATACATGTCGGTGGAGTACCACAGCGAAGTTGTGGGTTTGATAAATGTACCAACATATTTAAGAACTTAAATAATTTGTTCTTAAATGTTGCTTATCTAAAAATAAACGCAGCAAATACGGTTTGTCCATAATCGTAGGTGTCGTATTATATTTTGTCTCCTTAAAATGTGGATTTAAATTATTTATGGATATTTTGACATACATGTGTATGTGTGTGCTTAAAATATTTAGATACATACAATATTAAATATTAATGCCGAAATTACATTACTGGAATATCAATTATATATATTTGCAAAATGAAAATTGAACTTTCCGTTGATATCCAATTGAAATTTAAATTTAACTTCATCAGTTTATTAATATATTAAAATAATGTAAAATCCTTTTGTCGGAAACCTTTTCTTTTTCCACACACAACTAATCCCTATACTCATTGAGTAGTCAGTAATATAATGAACATGAGTCCAATTCCATGCACTCAGGTAGGAGCATTCAGATGAAGAAAAACCTGCAAATTGGCTCATTGTTCAGTTAATTTGTTTTAGTAACATCCCCAGAAAGGTCTTTAAAAATGTCCACTGCTCAAATCTTTCAATTGTTCAACTGCTTATATTTTTATGTGCAAAATATTTATAACAGCCTGTTCCTTTTTATCTTTTTATTACACTCATTCTAAAATATTTATTCCTATCTATTTCCATGCACCCAATCTGTCGGCACGTGTCGAGCGTCGTGCGCCACCGTTCCTTAAATGGCTGGGTGGAAGGAAGGTGGTCTGCTATTTTGCCTGCAATCCGCTCGTTTTTCCATAGATTGAATTGATACTTTAATCATAATATTCAAATATTACCCTGCTTGTATTTAGCCTTTGAATAATTACTACCAACAATAAATATACTCCATATAAAGTACTTAGAGCCATGGAGTCTAAAGCCCTGCATTTACCTTAATTTATTTAACTCTAGGCCTTGCCTATTAGAAACCTTTTCGATGCAATGAAAATACCCAATTTAATATTTCCGCTCTTCAATTTCTTATTGGAGGAAGCTGTAAAAGAAATAAGCAAGACCCAAATAATAAAAAAGATGTTCAAGGATTTTCAGTTCATATTTTGTGTGTGTTTGTATTTCTTTTCGTGTTTGTATTCTTTTGCTGTCGCATTGTTGAGATCGCTTATGTGGTAAACAAAATAAATGTTTATGTGGTAAGTACGAGTATGGGTACAAAAACAAACTTCTGATCAAATGATCTTGACAAAAGTAAATAAAGCATGTCCTATCACAGACTTAACTTAAAGCCCTATAACGTGGTCATAATTTTTAACACTTATCGAGGATGATTAATGAGGATCATTGTAAAGCATTTCTAAAGCTGCAGTTCCATTGCGCGATTGCCCGATGGGGATGATGGCCAGCCAATCGATGGATTTACCAGGGGCGCCAAATCTGACCGGTGCTGATCTGGAGCAGAGACTGTGGCGCTGGCAGGGAGCTGACGCTGCAATCGCTGTCGCTGCAATAGCCGCTGGACACGGGACTGCAGGCATCCCGGCTGGGCGCCATGGAGGAGCGGCTGCTGATGCTGCTGCTGCTGCTGCTGCTGTTGCCGCCGCAGATGATGGAGAGCGGGGCATTTATTGGCCTGGGTGCCGCTCTGGGCATTTCCAATTGGTTGAGTCGCATGCCGAGGTGTGTCATCAGATGTGTGCCAAAGACGACATCCACATTGGGCAGGGAAGCCAATGCGCGGGAGACCTCATCGGCAGCGCGGATGAAACCGTCGCGGAAACTCTGCTCTGCGTTGGTGGTGGAGGCGACTTTGGCTGCAGCAGCGGTGGCCTCAATCCTCGCCTGCTTGAGTTTGCGCAAATGATCGACGGTGACCTCCAGAATGTCGGCCCTATCGAATTTGCCATCACCGTTCGAGACGGTGCACTGGGCCATCAGATCTTTGAGCTCGTCCAGGCACATGTTGATGCGGGCCCGACGCCTGCGTTCCAGCAGTGGCTTCATCACCTTGCGGTACTCGTACGTCTTGGAAACTTCGTATTTGGTGGTGGCCATTGTAGATGAGATTTGTTGTCTTGACGTAAAATTGTGAATGTGGAAAACTTGTTGGCAGATCTCTGGCTGGGATCCGGTTGTTCACTGCACGTCGAATTTGTTGAGAATGTTGCTCTCGTCTCCAGTTACCGCCGCTTTTATAGCTGCACGTGCCGGCAGCGACGTCTCGTGCTCAGCGCGCGCAGAGAGAGCGCGCATGCGCTGAGCAGAGCGAACGAGAGAGAGAGAGAGGCACCACCGGAGCGACGACGACCACCTGCCGTCAGTCACTGGGTCGGGTCGAGCCGAGCCAAGCCGAGCCAAGCCGAGACGAGTCGTTTGGTCGTGTCGTTACGAATCGTTACTCGACGTTACCCGACGACCACGATCCTCGCCTGCTTTTCGGTGGTGGGTTTTTCTCGACAAACAAGTCGCCTTGGCAGGGGATGAAGACGATGTGCTGGTGTGTCTCTCCTCCACTCCTGTGTTGGTGCTGCTGTTGCTGCAGCTCTTGGCGGTGGTGGTGGTTGCACATGCGGCTGATGCACGTGTGTGTGTGTGTTTTCTTGTGTGTGCTCTCCACTGTTTTCTTTTAGCCTGACATTCGAATCGTGGGAAACACTTTGCCCTCAAGTTTCCCACAAGATTTTTCTCGCTCGTTGGTGTTATAAGTTATAATCGGAGGTAGGGCGAGCGAACGTACCCCGAGTCCGTGTCTGATCCGTGTCCCCGAGGTCCGAGTTCCGAGCCCTTATGCACATGGCACAGTGGGTCAAACCACTGCACACATGCGGGAATTTCTGCATCGCTCTATGACCGACTCTGAATGAAGCAAGGTTTGCCTTCCATTCTACCTATGTACGTGTTTTTTTTTCTTTTTTGGACCTGTGAATATTTCAGGCAAGGTATTCTACGGTTTTCCTACTTGCTTTCCGGACTCTGTGACGGTGCGTGAGAAATAAGGTGGGTCGTGGAAGGTTGATTTTCACACATGCGGGAATTTCTGGATCTCTATGACCGACTCCGATTGAAGGTTTTCCATCCATGTACGTGTTGTTTTGGACTTGTGAATATTTCAGAATTTTAGGCAAAGTATTTTACGGTCTTTAAGGTGGCTTGGTCCTGTGTTCTACTTGCTTTGGTTAATTTCCGTACTCTGTGACGGTGCGTGGGAATCAGAGTTTCGGATATAAGGTGCGTCAGGGAAGGTGCCTCTGGGAAGGTGCCTGTGCGAAGGTGCCTCTGGGAAGGTGCCTCTGGGAAGGTGCCTCATGGAAGGTGCCTCTTGGAAGGTTGATGCGTTGCAATTAGCAGGAGACACTGCTTCAGGGTCTTTCTAGGCGTAGTGTGTGAACTGTAGGGAGATCTCTGCGCAGTCTGCCCTTGCAGGTTCTCTGTGGGTGTTGAAACGGAAAAGCAATTCTGGTATTTCCGTTAAAGATGTTGCAAAAGAAGGTTAATGGGAATGTGATTTTGTGCAGGCTGGTGTCAGAATCAGTGTATTGGTTTGTTCTTTTACATATATTGAAAGTAAAGTTCTTGATGGGATAATTGTAGCTCCCCTTTTAAGTTCCGCCTTTGGATAAATATTTATTATTATAATTAATTAAATAATTTATTATTTATTATATATTTTTTATGTAATTATTTTTTTTATTTATTTTTTTGCTTAGCTTTAAAATTTGCCCCCAAGTTTTCTGCTCACTTGCACCACTGTAAATCTGACCGTGCTCCGAGTGCGAGTCATTCAGAGTGGCGAAGAGAAAAAAAAACCTACCACCTGCCCTTTATTTTACTTAATTTTTGTTTCTTGTGTCAGACGTGGGCCCAATAGGTTCTCTGTCCCGCTTCTGGCATCCGTCCGTCTCTTTCCCTCCAGCAGGTCGGTTGTCAATTATGAATGCTGGAATTGTAGCTTCTGTTGAACACTTGGGCAAACGGCTGGGCCCAGGGGCCAACACAGAGAGAGAGAGAGAAGAGAGAAGGGAACGCTAAGTGGCATGCCTGGGCACGTCGGGACATCATCATCGTGGGACCCAGTGAGGGTATAGGTATAGGGATAGGGTAGGGAAGGGATACGTATAGGGATGGATGGATCGAGGGACATGCAAACTAAATGACTGTACGGCAAATTGACACACACTAAAGATTAAATGTATCGCATTCGTTAACTATATAAACAATATACGTGGCCGGTTTAAAAACTCTTGACAGGAAGTCTGGGCCAAAGACAGACAGAGACAGACTGTAACATAAAGAAAGAGACAGAGACAGTAAGAGAGAGAGAGAAAGAGAGAGATAAAGCATTGCGTGCTGAGAGTGTGCTGAACAACAAGCCGTTACAATTTTCTGTCCGAGTCGAGTCGAGTGTGAGAAAATTTTTCGAGCTGCACATGGCCGTGGTGCCTCACTCCATTCCATTCACTCCACTCCATCTCTATAGATAGGGGCCCATTTGGGCACGCAACGGGGTTGGGCTTATTGTCAATGCAGCGGCAGCAGCAGCAGCAGCAGCAGCATTTTATTTGTGGTTGTTGCAGCATCGACTGTTGTCGCTGTGGCAGCGCACTGTGTAATTGAATATGTATGGGCCCGATGCGCATGCCCGGCACGCCAAACGCGCGACAGAAGCACGCAGAAAAAAAAGGGCTGACCAGAAGCTCGCTGAGCGAGAATGAAATGCAAAAAGAAAAAGATTTGAGCTTCATCTGCGACAGGAAATTATCATTTGTGGGGAATGACTGGGGCTGCCGCGTCCTCATTTGCATCGATTAAATTTGATGTTTGTTGGGGGATTTGTTGCTGAGAGTGGAGAGAGTGGAGTGAGAGAGCTACGCAGATTTAGTGGCGATGTTGAAGGTCAAATTCCAATGGGTTTTTTTTTGGGGTGGCATGCAAGGGATTTTTATTTAATTTTTTTATATTTTTATTTATTAAATTGGGTTTTTTAAAGTTGATTTTGGGTTCTGTAACGATGGGATACCTATGATTATGAATGGTATAGCAGCATTTAATGATTCACTATTCACTTTCAATTTCAGTGTAAATTCCCCACCCCCATAACATATCAAAAGAAACCACAAACAAACGACTCTAAATGACTTCATTTACTAAGCCTCTTGGGGGTTTTTTACTCGCTTGAAAAATCGCCTGGATTGTTTTCAATTACAATCCAATTTGATTGCATTAAATTTGAATTTTTATCTGTAAATATCAAGTTCAAAAGCCCCTTTAAAAGTCAACTGTAATTAAATAAAAAATTACACAAAATAAATTCAATTTTTGTTGTTTTATATATTTGTATGACTTATAATTTAATATAACATTTATGCTACTGCTATGGCTAAAAGAGAATTATTATCACAAAATTTATTATGTATTCTTTACAATCAACACCCATCGAAGGACTCCAGGACCGACGATTGTCCCCCGTGTGTTGGTGTGGCGCAACTTTCTGACTGGGCTGCCACTTGTTGCAGTGGCAGTGGCAGGCTGCTATCACGCAACTTGTTTCGCACGAACGTAAGTTGCTGCTGCGACAGCTTCATTCATTCATGGAACGAAATGCGCTTTTTTGTTGTTGTTGTTCGTTTTACTCATTCATTCATGCATTTTGGCCGCTTCTAACTACCGGTTTTTGCGCACGTTGGCGCTGGCCCGGTTGCTGCTGCTGCCGTTCTTACTGCTGCTGCTTTTGATGCTGCCTGCTGCTGAGGCTCTTGTTGCAGCCACGGATGTACAAGATGTTGCGGCTTCTAGCTGCGCCAGATCTGGCTGCTGTTTAGCAAAAGCTTCTGCTGCTTTGATGATCATTTTGTGGCATCTATGAGGGGTTGGTGATGCCACTATTGAAGCTCTGGAGATGCTAATATTGCTGAGGCAACTGTAGATAGAGCTGCTCATGCTACAGCTTCTGCTGATGATGTTCTGGTTCTTTGAGATGTTTTGTTCCTGTTATATCCTTTGCTTGAAGCCTTTGTTGCTGCTTAAATGGTTGCCTCTGATAATGTTGCTGCTGCACATGCAGATGTTGCTGCTGCGTTTGCTGGACTTCTATCTGAGTCTCTGAGATTTGCCTGCTGATCAAGCTACTTCTGTGGCTCCTTCTGTAGCTCCTTCTGTGACTCCTTCTGTAGCTCCCTCTGCAGCTCCTTCTGTAGCTCCCTCTGTAGCTCCTTTTGTAGCGCCTTTTGTTTCCGCTTCCCTTGCGCTTTGCTGTGTTGCCTCCTTCGGTTGTTGCTACTGCGAATGCCAATAGAAGCTGCCCGCCGCCGTCTCCAGGCAAATCACCAAATGCTCCTCCTCGTAGCCCGTCAGCGTCTCCATGAGCATACGCTGCTCATTGGCCTGATTCTGGGCAATCTCCTCCAGGCTGTCGTACCGCTGGCCATCGCTGCTGGCCTGGCCCTGGTTGCCTCTGCCGAAGCGTTGCAACATTTTGGCAAATAAATTCTTAACTTTCGACATTTTTGTGTGCGTATTATTTTCACTTTCAGTGCTTTCAGTGTTCTAATCGCGTGGGCTGGCAAATTGTAACTGTTGTGGCCGGATGGCAAGTGGCGCGCTTTTATAGCTGGCAGAAGCAACCCACCACCAACGCCACCCAAAAACCGCACCACCCAAAACAACAAGTGCCACATGTGCCCGACACATGTGCAAACTCACTGCGCAACAGCAACAGCAGCAACAGCAGCAGCAGCAGTATCCTCATCTTCAATGGCAACAGCAGCCCAACGTTCGCCTGCCACGCTTTCAGCGTGAGGGGCCCCGAAGCAAGCTCAACACGTGCAGGATAATCGTGTCTCCCTGCCCTTCCCTTCCCTTCCCTTTTTTTTGTGTTGAATTTCATCTCTTCCTTTTTTGTGTTTTTTTTTTTTCAATATAACGAATGCACAGAATAAATATTGAGAGCGTCGAGCAGTTGTGGTTCCCATGGATAAGGTTTTGCCAGCAAGCAAGCAACGAGGACGGGCCCTTCCCCTATCCTGGCCGAGTGAGTGAGTGCGTATCTCGTATCTCTCGTTTTCAGGCTAGGGGAAAAGTATCCCACGGTTCGAGTGGCAGCTGTTTGCAATTTAGGCCACAGCCCCGCTCATTTCATTTCGCTGCCTTGTATATTGGAGGACGGTTGGTGGTTGGTTGTTGTTGTTGTTGTTGTTTGCCTCTTCTGACACATATTGCACTTGCTGGCTGCCGAAGCCGAGCTGAAGCGAAAGCAGAGTTGGTTCAACTTTGGTTAATTGCATCACTCGCCGCGCGGGTCACGCGTACGCTGCTCAGCCGCCTTTCCACCTGATTGATTGTCTGGCTCTGTGGGCTCTCTGCCTGGCACACACCGCTTGGAAAGCTCAGCATTGCGCCCGTCGCGTGGCGCACAAGTGCTCCTCCGCGTGCTCCTCTGCTGATTGAGCGTGGGTCGGCCACGTGTGGGCCAACTCTGCGTGCAAGGTGCATTCATTTGCGGTGTACTCTCTGATGGTCTTTTAATAGAATTTTTCTGGGATTATAATTTGGAGTATTTGTCTTATGGGGTGGGTGGTAGGCGGGCTGCTTTTGGGGGGTGAGTGCTGGCGCTGGGTTGATTTGAGGTTGGTTTTTGGAAGAGTCAATGGTGCTTCAATGGGAACATTCAATTGAGTGAACCGTTTGGTCTGGGGTTTGTGGTAGGCAGACAAGTGGCAGGGCGGGGTTGTTACTAATTAGTGGAAGTGTTTGGGAAATTGTAATGTTTGTAAATGGTTGGCTCTATTTTACAATACGATTATTATTTTAGCTTGTAGTTAAAATAAGGGTTAAAAAATTTAAAGGAACATACATTTGTAAATTATTTGGCATCCATAGATTTTTAGGTAGGAATCCATACTTATAAGGTATGGTACAGACCCATAAAAAATTTTTCAAAAGAGCATTGAATAGAATACGTAAAGGGCTCAGCATTAAAATTAAATAAAGGGATTGCAACTTTTACTTAATTATTAGAAAACTATTTTGAAAAAAATTCTAAATATATTTTTGATGAAGTTTCAATTTAAAGGCATTTAATAATTAATTTTAAATTATTTGTTTTACTTATTGTAAAACAAATATTTTCCAATACAAATAAAAAGCCATCCACTTTACCTGCTTAAAGTATTTTCCCATGGTGTCCCACCTCAAGAAAAGAACAAGCAGATTAACACCCAGGAAATCAACTTTATTTCTTCCCCCCACCCTCAGTAAAAGCTATTCTAAAAGATCCCATAAATGCCTTCGCATGGTGCTAATGTCCGACAACAATTGTCCACTTATCGTTTGGCTAATTTATTTGTGGGCAAACATTTACCCAAGATATTTAAGCTGTCGAAAACAAACGAATGCAATGCGAATGCTACGAGGTGGTCGAGCATAATTGGCTCGAAGGATGGCCCAGGCCGTGGTCAACACTAAGTGGAATGGATCATCGATCTAGTACAATTATTCAACCTGAATGGATCATTGATCTACCCGTCTACGAGCTATAGCCAGAGAGACAGTAGCTAACGATCAATCCAAACTGTCAGCCGGCTACTGTGGCTTCTCACTCACCACTTGTTTGTGTCTGTATGTGTGTGTGTGGATCTCCATTAATGATTTGATGGGCCCATTGATGTGGTGCGCCCAGTGCTGTCAACGCCATGGACAGTCGATTCCGCCTCACCTTCGTCCAATCAATGCCAAGCTTGAAAGAGCCCTCGTTAAACTTCCTCTATGTCTGCGGGTGCGTTCGGATCGTCGCTCGTTCAATTAGCTCATGTCGTAAAGTACAAATAGCTATTGCGTACAGTTCCTTGGAAACCCCGAGAGCTTGGCCATAATCATTAAGCCAAGCCAAGACCTAACCAAGACGGGGACGGTACTGGACTGCCGGTAGCTGCTGCTGCCTTCGCGACCGTCTCGACGGCAATTTAAATTAAACAATCGTCAATGACGGCGACAAGAGTGAAAAACTAAAGTAAAGCAGCCAGCAATCAGTCAGAGTCTGTCTGTCTGTCAGTTAGTCAGTCTACCAGTCTGCCAGTCTGCCAGTCAGTCAGTTAGTCGTCCGTCAGTCACACGAACGACAAACGAATGCTACTTGGGCCTGATAATAAGCGTCGCGCCGGCGCAATAAATGTGTGCCGACAGAGAGTGCCCTCATCTTGAGGCTTGTGTTGTTGCTGGCTCCGCTTCTGTGTATCAGTATCTCTGCCTCTATGTGTGTGTGTGTGTGTAATCGTAACCATATAAGCGTCTTAAATGGCAGGTGTGCACATCGCGTGGGAAACACACGACGCGTCTCGAGCGGTTCTCACGATATGAAAATCGAGCAAAACAAACCCAAGACCGACCGACAACCTGACAACCGTTCGCCACTTTCTAGGGATTCGAATTGGATTGCTATACGAAGGGATTGGAGTACGTATTAAGGGTTGTCCGTTGCTCGTTGCTCGTTGCATGTGGCAGAGAGAGGGTCCCTCCGGGTCCCCATTAATATCGTCCAAGATTTATGGGGAAAACAGAGTGAGCGAGAGGGGTGCCCGGGCAAAGGATTGCGGGTTGCTTGTTAAGATGAGATCACATTAGGACCAGCCCATGCTAGAGTTACAGATTAGATGAGAGTCAGCCCAAATAGGGGCAAGAGCTATTTATATTACCACAAAAAAAAAGAAGGACTCTATGTATCCCATAGTTAGATGAGAGCTGTGAACACACAACCCTCAATCAGTTTTTGTCCCCTCAATCTATTAAAGAGCCTCAAAATATTGGGATAATATTGAGAAAAAAAAACTAAAAAAAAAGATTTATAACTTGAGAAAAGATTACTGAGTTCGTAGATCGTATTTAGAGGATTCCAAAGATGATTTTAAACAGCGAATGACCTCAGCTAGAGGTGAGAATTATACTCATAGCATGTAGACTCAGGGCAAGATTCCAAACACACACAAAACACACATTAAATGTGTGTCATAACCGAAGCATGCCATAGCCCCTATAGCTAGGACCCATCCGCAGTAAACTCCTCCTTCCATCTGCTCAGACGAGAACGAGAACAAGGCATCAATAAGCCACAACAAGACAAATACAATTTAGCTGAGTTTGATTTTCATTTGCTTGGCCCAAACCAAATCAGTTAGTAACAGACAATTGCACGACGTCCTTTCGGTTCTCACGTCTTGGCCAGCATTTTACGGTTTTAATTGCAGTTACAATAGGGCACACAGGACACACACTCCTTGGCTAGACAATTGCCGAGTAGCAGAGAGAAAGAATAAAAAGACAGATAGACAGACAGACGGACGGACGAAGGAACCTTCTTTGCACAACGATTTCCTTTCCCACGCACGCACAGCCATAAGATTTCTAGAGATTTCTGGCTACCTGCAAGGCAGGTCCTCCTCGCAGGACCCAGGACTACTCGACCTGCGGGGTATAAAAGGCAGTGCAGCAGCCGACAACAGCATCATTCGAGCAGCATCCTGCAAACCGTGAACACATCTCTTCCACACACACACACACATCTCTTCTGCTCCTCTGCAAAGCAAAAAGCGATCTTAAAAAAACGCAAAAATGGCTCCACAGGCAAACAGCGAAAGCAGCGCATTCGTATCGAAGACGCAGCACTATCTGAAGGTGAAGAAGCCGCTGCTGGAGCGACAGCGCCGTGCCCGCATGAACAAGTGCCTGGACACGCTCAAGACACTGGTGGCCGAGTTCCAGGGCGACGATGCCATACTGCGCCTGGACAAGGCCGAGATGCTGGAGGCGGCACTTGTCTTCATGCGCAAACAGGTCGTCAAGCAACAGGCGCCCGTCTCACCACTGCCAATGAATAGCTTCAAGAACGGCTACATGAACGCCGTCAGCGAGATCTCCCGTGTGATGGCCTGCACCCCGGCCATGAGCGTTGACATTGGCAAGACGGTGATGACACATCTGGGCGCTGAGTTCCAGCGCATGCTTCAGTCCGATCAGCCACAGGAGCCCGAGCAGCCAACAACCCAATTGGAATCCACCTCACGTCCTGCCAGTCCCGCCTCGTCGGGATATCACAGCGATGCCGAGGAATCCGAGGCGGCTGCCAGCCCCAAGCCAGAATCCATGTGGCGTCCTTGGTAAATCAGCAACGACTTCGACTACGACTACGAATCCTGTGCCTTCCATTCAACGAATACGAATACGACTACGACTACGAATCCTGTCTTCCAATCAACAACAACAACGAATCATGTCTTCCAATTGACTCGTGCATACTGTGATAACAGCTTTACTTAGCACTTAGGCAAACCCCAAGCTTTACTTAGAACTTAAACGAACCACAAGCTTTAATATTTATAAGAACAAAAAAAAACGAGAAGGAACGTGCGAGTCGCTTCTGGGGACGCGACTCTACTTATACCCGTACTCAGTCAGCATAAACATTTTTAAGCATATGATTTTTTAGAATTTTAGAATTAAAAAAAAAATTTTACATTTAACATTTTTTTGCTACATCTGATATCTACATCTACAATGTATATTCTACATCTAACATGTAGATTGTACATGTTCCAATTAGATTCTACATCTCCTCCGCTAGGGGTTGCTCGCGCACTGAACGCGGCAGAGTGTGCGAGCGAGAAGGAAAATGACTTGCTTTAATGCGTCAGGAGGGGGAAGGGGAAGCAACTGAAAATTAATTTCTTCATTCTGGCTATAATTATGATCCGATCTGATTCAGATTCGGCAGTCTGGTAGATATGGGCATTCTCTACGACACTGCGTTTTTAGTTTTATCGTATCTTTAAAAATGTGCCTGCCACAGATTTTCGTCCTTTGTGGAGGCGGAAGGGGGCGGAGCGAAATTTTGAAATACACTTGTAACAGTGGGATATCACATGAGTCTGGAAACCAAATTTGGTTGCCCTAGCTCTTATAGTCTCTGAGATCTAGGCGCTCATCGAGACAGACAGACAGACAGACAGACAGACAGACAGACGGACAGACAGACATGGCTCTATCGACTCGGCTATTGATGCTGATCAAGAATATATATACTTTATGGGGTCGGAAACGTTTCCTTCTCTGCGTTACACACATCCACTTTTACCACAAATCTAATATACCCCTTAACTCTTTTTTGAGTACGGGTATAAAAAAACAACAGCAACAACAGCTTTAATAGACATTAAATAAAATAAAAAACACAAGAAAAACAAACTCACTTTGGCCTTATTTATTGATCTAACAGCAAATCAAAGACATTTTCGTAAATGAAATGGGAATTTACTCAGGCAAGGCAGCTGTTTTTGGCTCATTAAGTAGGAGATATTCTTGTTGAATACTTAACCAATCAATGAAATATTTCTTATTTTAGACCGTTAAGAAAGAAGGTACTTGAATCCAGAAGGCTGCAAACGAGACATGAATTTATTTTAAATGATTTAATATTTCCAAAGCGATAAAATATTCATATTTTCCATGAATTAAAATACCCATTGAAGTAACAAAAAAACTTGTCTAAGGAAGATTGTTCTCATTTTTTAAATTTTGTAGCTTCATTTAAATATTTAAAGGTTTTAGTCTATCAACATGAAAGATAAGGTATTAGATCCTAAACTAATAATAGGAAAATCCCTGAAAATTATAGCTTGTAATATTTACTACCATCTTCAATTATAAAACTTTCAATGCCATAGATCCTTCAATTTTATTGTTTGTAATCCATAATTAGCAGTTTACAAATAAATAAATAAAATATAAATTTAATCCTAAATTTCATGTTGCATATGTTACAAATTAATTTTAATCTTGAAAGTATATTCTTCTCCCTTTGGAAATTCCACAGATTACATATTTGCCTCATGTAAGTTGCCCAACTCATTGAAATAATTTCTGCGTTTATGTGTGAATTACACACACATTAGTTTAGCCCTCCTCCACCTGATAAATGAACCAAACACGAACGTTTTGTAAGTGACACCGCAGCTGGGGACCTCCACTGCAGCTCGTTGAACTCCCCCGAGTCCAAGTAGGAGGTCCCCTGGCCATAAGCACAAGACAAGACAAGCCAAGAGAAGACACTGGCCAGGCGACGCCCCCCGAGTGGCGAACCAAACTCGAGACCTGTCTACGCCCTGATCAACAGCTCGTTGCTGCCCGAGTGTGGTGCACGTGTTGCTGCCCCTGCCTGGCTGGCTGGCTGGCTGGATGGAGTGTTACCGAATCTGCATACCAGAACCCCTGGACAGGGATCACATATCTTTCTTCGATTAGGGAGGTTCTGGGACCAACCATCGAGTTAAACCGTCAATTACAACCCCCTTTTGTGCAGTGCACGTGCGTGTTGAATGATGGGCGGAGAACGGAGAGAACGGAGAACGGGACTCTTGAGGCCCCGGCGGTATTCGGTCCTCGGTTGATATCCTAAACCAACACTGACAATGCCCATGTGATTCCTGGAACCTGCCTCCCGCATATGCGACACACACAATCGCACATACTAATTTGTAAACTAAAAAAAAGAAAGAATAATACAAAAACAAAAAAAAAAAAAATTTAAAGAAATTCCAACATCGTCGCGCTGTCTCGTGTCAAGTGCATGGGTTTCACATTGTTGCCAACCACGCGAGTGTCTCTGTAACCCGACGACTAAAAGGACCCCACATGTGTCTGTCGTTGTATCACCACCACACAGATTATTGTCTGTGTTATTTTATCATTACAAAACCAAAGAAACCAAAGCCATGAGGTTCCAGCGCCCAAGGGGGCTTACTTACTTATACTCTCTAGCAATGATATGGGACATGTGATTTTGCATGGAAGAGTGGCTGGTTTCTAGGATATTGTGATAGGATATAGGATATTTAATTGGTATTATTAATGATCTGAAAAGAAAATGAATAAACGATTAGTAAAAGGCAGTTTAAAATAATTAAATAGAGCCAAGGAGGCGCTGAATTATTGATAAAAATATTTTTGTATAATTGTGGCATATTTTCAGTTAATAGTTTTACGCTCCACTTAAATATTAATGAGTAAAAATGTAAAAGGAAAAGATAAGCAATCAGTGGAAAATATTTTAAAAACCAATCCAACGCATATATTTCACTCCGATAAGTGTATCTGTACTTCGCCTTCAGTTCCTACTCCATAGCGTACCTCCCCCAAAAAAGAGATAAATCTCTGGCTGTTGTTATCATAACTGCAGGACACATGGCCGTGGGTGCATGTCCTGGCACGAAGACAGGCCGGGCTCAAGTGCAGCTCGTCTTACGTTCGGTGGAATTTCGCGCACGCCTCGTTTGAAGTTCACGGTGCCTGACCGACCCCAAAAGCAAATGTAAACGGAAATACCGTAACAGATTCGGGCAGTTAACACATTCGGGTGTACGAGTAGGATTCCGTGTCCCTGTAACAGGACCTGCGGAAATATGCGCAGAATCCAGAGAGAGAGCTAGAGGAACCACAATCATTGGTGGGCATTTCCACGCTGCCAGCCACACATGTGTGAAAATTTCACGTTTGGCAAGTAACTCACGTTTCGGCTTCAGGCTTCAGGCTTTAGCTTCAGGTTCGGCTTCGTCTTCGCGTTCGCACTTGCTGCATTGTGGATAGAAGATATGGATGGATATGGATATGGGTATATGTGGCTGGGAGGGACGTGTCGGTGCGATGTGCTGGGGAGTTTCGAAACGTTGTCTTAGCATACAACACCCCGCTGTGACCGAAACGAGGTCGTCACGTGCACAAACATGAACGTCTACGTTCCCATCTCATAACCAGTCAGCCAGCCAGCCAGCCAGCCAGACAGACAGCCAGCCATCCCTCGATGAACACTTGGTTCGCTCGACTTGTTTCGTTTTTCGGCTAGGAGACAATGGATTGTCAGGGTCAGGTTGATTTTATTTGTATTATTTTTACTTTATTTTTTCGTTTTATTTTCTTTTTCATTGTGTGTGCGAGCTAATCTACGATTTTGGAACCTTAAATGATCGGGCGGCGATAAGAAATCAGTGCACGTGTTCAACGACGGAGAGAGCAGGGGCAAAAAAAGATTTCGAAGAAGAGAAAAGGCACCACAGTAGTCGCCAGTGAAAACCACTGCAGGGGCAACTCTGCCTCCGTCTTGCCTTGGACCCCCAGCGGGGCTTTGGTTTCCCATAGAAATGGTTAACTATTTTTATTTGTTTTGGGCCCTGCACGTGGGCACACAATAAAACCCGAGAAAAAAAACATACACACATACACAAAAAAGTATCCATCAAAAGGGAAAACTAGGGGCAATGAGTCGACCAAAAAAAACATAGAAATAGACTCGACTCGACTCGTGCAACCAAAAGGACCAAAAACACAATTAGATCAACACAATCCATGCATAATAAGGCCGAATAATGCGGTAGAATGAGTCAACCAAAAAATAAAAATGGGTAGGATAAAGAAGAACAGAACAGAGTCGTTCGGAGGCTATACAGAGGTCAAATTCCTAGAAGCAATCCCATAATTTGGTACTGTTTATCCAGCAAAGGACCTTCAATAGATTGAAGGCAGTTCTGTCTGTGATAAAAGAAAATATTCTTTATTGCAATAGAAATCTCAATCAGACATAAATATATATTCTGTATCTGAAAAGTGGAGTGCAGGGGATGCCATTGGGACGGGACTGTCTTGTATGCGTCAAAGTCTCAATCTCAGAAATATTTTATACATTTATACATCTTAATGGTCGATAGAAGTCGTCTGTGAGGGATGCTTAAGGGGACTGTCAAGTTTATTGATTCGATATGGAGTATTGATATTTGTTATTATCAAATAATTATTGAAAGGATTATATTGCATTGAGTTACATATGATATGGGCACTGATATAATTTTATAGATATATTATATGATCTATGATCAATGGCTATATCTTTTCCAACTTCACTGATGCCATTTCAGTTCCATTGGGTTCCAAAGAAATACGAGATTTCGGCCCTTATCGTGTAGAGATTTTATTTACTTATTTGCAATAAAATATTCCCTAATTAATGCCCCCAATAATATGCAATAAAAGGGTTTCCCCAAATTGGTAATCATTTCAGCGAACAACTTAAGGGATATTCAACAAGTGGGAAGGAATATCATGCATTGATTGTCCAGAATATTCCATAATATTAATTGCATATTAATTTATTATTATGTTGATTTAAATCTAGAGTAATATGATAATAAAAAAACGGCTAAGGAACCTAAGAAAGATTTTTCTTCTTTTATCTTTTGTTGTACATAAGTAATCGTGTTCTTTCTTGGAATTTTCTGGCCCAACAATTGTGCCCCAATAATACATGTTTATTTATTGAGATTTTCTTTTGATTTTAGTTTCTTT